TGTAACTGATGTTCTCAACATTGGACAAGTAGGCAGTAATAAAATACAGCTTCCAGTTAATTTCTATAAATTGAGCTAATGTTAAGTTACATAGCAGCTGTGTAGCTGCTGTAGAAGCTTTCCTGCTTAGCTGCGCAGTCTGAAGGGGAGGGGATGTTAGCTAACTTAGCGCTAACCGGCTTCACTTTTCCAGCCGGTGGGAAACAGACTTTTCTTGGTCTTGAGAAGCTAACACACTGTAACAGACACCGTACATTTGCTGCCAGAATATTTTCCTCCGCTCGCGTTCACCGTCAATTTCTGCCGCTCGGACAATCAAACACTCGCTACGCAGCTCCCGAACTCGGAGTTACGCTGCTCTCATAACACCATCTTTCACGTATGTTCTGCATAGTACGCGGAGAGGAAGCGAGCCGAGCATTGAGTGCTGCCGTGCTCACACAAAAACACATTTGTAGCGCATAGTTTAATGATAGTGGGAAATTTTAGGAGTGGCGGTCGTGATTCAGCATGTACTGAATGAATATAGAGGAAACACTGAGGTGTTAACACAATGTATATACCCTATGGAAATAAGATTAATTGGATTATATTCACAGGAAGTATAAAATGAGAAAGACATGATAAAATGTTTTGGAAATAACTTACTAATTATTCTTTGATTTAGGGTTGCTTTAAAAACATTAAATAAATACTTGACTTTTTTGCTGTTTCTTCAAATTGTTTACTAGAGCACAAAACTTTTAAAATAGTTCTCGCCTATTTATTTTGCTTTTAAATTGCATTAGTTTATTGTATTTAACTTTAAAATGCATGGCCCCGGACCTTCCTACAGGGTCGAGGTCCACCCAAGATAGTCTCACAATATCCTGTGTAATTTTTAGCAGTAACTGAAGATACAGAAGATAGTATCACCAAAAGGCTATGTTTATTTTTGATACAGAAATATGTTTTGGTTAATGATGATAAAATCAAATTTGAAGAATTTCCTGGAAATGGATTGTGGTTTTGATAAAGCAGAACAAATATGGCGCTTGAGCTGGTCAATTATGTATGAACTTGTTTTGTCTGATCCTTACTTCCGCAGCCATCCAGGACTGCGCAGCAAAATCCAGGTTCCCCTGGGCTTGAGGCCGGTAACACAAACACCCAGCACATCTATAATATTCAGACACAAAAGAGGCTTTGGGGGGGGGGGTCTGAATACAGACTGAGGTTCAATTACCACAGAACAATCCAGGCCTGGCCTTTGCTTCTGCCTGGGGATATCCATGCACCTGACCCGCTTGTCACTAGACAAGAGCAGAGCATCTCCAAAATACCTGCAGTGGTTCGGGGATACTATGCAACCTCGAACCTGTTCTGCATCGTTTCACGGTTCTTCAATTACATCTGATTTCAAGCCACTGCTTTGGGAATAACCATATGTGGCATGACATATGCACCAGGTTATACAATTACATCAATCACCCAATACAACAAATAACTATACTGTATTAATCCTATTAAAATGCAAGCATGAAAACATATATCCTGGTTTCTTTTTTAGACTATTACATTAAAAGCAACCTAGGTAACACAGATTTCTTTTGGAAGACAACAAGTCTGAGTTTCATAAGAAATTCTGTTCATGTGGAATAGAGCTACAACAGTAACAACTATGTTGGGAAAAATGTAAATTAGGGGTGGGAATCAAGAGGCCCCACAATACGATATTATCCCGATATTTATGTTGCAATTAGATTTTATTGTGATTTTAAATATATTAAGATATAATGCAATTTATTACCTTTTTCCAAATTCCAATTAGGTCCCTAAAGTCAAACTTTGTCAACATCTGTTTATCCAATATGATACATTTCTCTGTTTGTTCACATCACTTTTTCAGTCCTCTATATGGTCCTGTTAAGTTTTCTAGTGGACTAAAAAAGCAATAGATTTTATTATTCTAGTACCAAAAAGTTAAAACTCTTCTGCAATTTATATACTAAAATATCGATACTTGGCGTCCGTGTATCGATACAGTATTGCCATGGCAAATATATTTGTTTTTTTTTTAGAAATAACAGATTACACTAGGTTAAATAAAACCTGCACAATGAGTTATAAGCAGCTTATCTTTTGTGGTGACGAATGCAACAAGTAAACTTAAAATAGTGTCCAACCTTAGCCTAATAACTCATATTAGTGTCAATGGTCTTTTTGTGCACATACTACAGTACATTTTTAATAAGGGGGGGTTTGTCTGGGTGGAAATGACATCTCAAGAGCCAAACACACTTACCATTCTTGGTGGATAAACTTGATACTACCAGTGCAGACACAGGGGTGGTACAGGGGTTTGTCTGGGGTCCCCTCAGACCGGCACACACGACAGATGTCCGCTGCGCGCACACGCACACACACACACACACACACACACACACACACGACAATTTGGTGAGTATACCCATCGCCAAAGCCAAGTAAACCAGGGAAGTGCAGACAGGGAGTAGAGGGGCTTGGTTGTGTTAATAGACGTGTCTTTTGGATGGGAGTATCTAATCTAGAGGTATAAAGCGTTTGTTAGTGTTACTGTTGTTTGATACTTAGATACGCATGAAGCATAACGTTACATTTACGTGAGTTGCACAAGAAACTTCGCTTACCTAACTTTACCTATATGGCCATACACCAGTAGACTGATGACATCACCAGCGCTAGTCCCTTTATGCTCTCGACTAATTCACCGCTGCTTCACACTGTGCTCTCATGTTGAGCTCGGCTGCATTAAAACAACGTTCATCAGTCATATCCTATCTTCCTAAATTTACTCCACAGTCCACTGACAGGCTACTGAGCTATGCTAGTCGGCTAAGTTAACACTAGCAGGCCAGCTCGGCAGGAGGTGAGATACACTGACGAAGCTAACGCTAGTAAACCACTGCCCTTTGGCTATTTACCTTCTTCGGCCGTATCCATGTTGTTCGCTAAGCACCGGTCACCGTTTCTTCCAGGAGTACTTCGGACAGTGAACCCATCCACGACAGGGACAATATCGTTTAGCTAGCTAGACTAAGCCAGCGAGACGACGAGTGCAACGTTATCCTTCTGTGTCGGATGCATTGACAATCATAAAATGGTTTCCCCACAGCCTGAACACCAGCGCTCTCTCCGTTGTGTCCTCTCACGTCCAGTCTGTGCCCACTACTAAACGAAATGTTTTATTTTCACAGTGTATTTTTTATGTAAAACAACAAACTTGGGGAAAAAAGCGTCACATCCTCCGTGTTGCTGAAATGACAGTTGAAAGCTGGGAAACAAATGGCTAGCTGAGCTGGCTAACGCATGCGCTAACGTCACTGCTGGCTCCTGTCACAAGAGTTCTATTTTACCGCAGCGGGTCAACATTTACGGCAGGGAAACCTCCACAACAACCGTCACGTGGTTAGTGAACGACAATCTGTAGTTTTTATCTTTAAATATCTATTGTAATGATTTTATATAATATATAAAGTATATCCGTTTATTTACACTGCAGAAAGTGTTGTTGGTTTCTTCACTTTTACACTCTGTACACATTTGTTTTATCTTGATGTCTTGTTTTTCAGTATGAGTTACCTATATTATCTGCTGCTATATTCAAGTGTGCTATAGTTTCATTTCCACCATTGTAAATTATTTTTATATTTTCTTAATTGATGTGTACACTAACTTACGTACTCCTAACTGGTTTGTATATTTTCTACATTTTCAATAAAAAAAAATAAAAAAGGAACAACCTTACAATATATATTCACATACATATAAAATCAAATATTTATTCATACTTAACTGCGACATCTGCAGGATGTCACATGAACCAACAATTTTGAACCACCTTTCTGGAACATTTCCGACCAGAGCAGAGGTACAGTACATCTGTAAAGGCCCATCGGGTTAATCTCTCTAATTTCTTTCTTGTTGTGGTTATTTTACCATGTCAATAATCAGTTTTTAACTCAATTCCCCTTAATTACTCTCCAGTGTATTTATTACATTTTGCATTTAAGGTGCCCAATTAAAAACTTTATTCCTGTCTCTACCTTTTCCGCAGGCATTCTCAGTTCCCAGTAACTATTGTGTTAGTGCTTTATTTTTTACTTCCAATTAACCACTTATTGTTTTACTATATCCTCACTTAACCCTAAATCGCTATAACTTGTTAAAATGTTACCGATTTGATATAAAATGTAGCGTACTGTTTTTGGTGAAAGTATATGGATAATATTATGCCTGCTTTTTTTTTAAATGTTAAACCAAATAACTGTATCAAGGACATTTTACCGAACCGTAAATTAGATACCTTAAGATTAAATAATACTCCGTCATCCGGGGTATCTAATGGCGCCGTGGCTTAGTTGGTTAAAGCGCCTGTCTAGTAAACAGGAGATCCTGGGTTCGAATCCCAGCGGTGCCTTTTGTGAAGCGCGTCCGTGGGAGAAAGAAGTTAGGATAATAATATTGAACTGTCTTTCTGTCATTTAATCAAAAGTCTTTGGTCAACCCAGGCTTCAAGGGAACAGGACCGGAAGGAGCATAATTGTCTTGACAGAAAAGAATTCACTTTAACACTGCACACACAGAGAAAAGATAAAATAATGTTCACTTTAGAAGTGAATTTAAAATGCACAGAAGCTGCAGCACTGAAGACAGAGCAAAACCTCCACAATATGTAAATGTTCATTTTTTCCCCATTCCTTACATTTACAGTCCTTACAGTCCATTTATTTGGTCATAATTTAACGTATTGTTCCCATCAATCAATCAATTTTGAATCTGTTAGGAGTGATTTTCAATGTGGTTTCTTCTGGTTGAGTTTATAGAAAGAACTTAAGGCTGTCCCACAAACACATGTCAGACATATTGACCATATGCTTTCATGTCTATTTGCATCAGCTATGATACGGTATGTCCTTATCTCCACCTTTAAGTGCTGTTTGTATTGGCTACTCAAAAAATGTAATGTTATTTACTTACAGCTTTTATTTTGAAGGTCGCTGCAGGAATTCCCTTCTTCATATGAGCTTCACACTGATTCCACCAGCTATACAATTACCGACTTGGCTGCAACTTTTCCAGCCCTACACGACACTTAAGAAAGTTTCCTCTGTCAACGGGAATTCGGGTAAAACAACACGGTATGTCTCTGTGCAAATTGATTTACAGATTATTTTGTTTGAGACTAAGACGTCAGACTGGGAAAGGTTAACGTTAAAGCTGTGCAAAATGCTTTGTCATTGTGTTGCACAATAATGTGACTCCCAGTTCTGACCGCACGACAGAGAAATTAAATCTTGTGTGTCAGCAGATGGCGAATGAAGCCAAGCCATGCCCCTGCGACATCGGTGATCGGATGGACTATGGAGGGCTCGGCCAGGAGGTCCAGATAGAGCACATCAAAGCATATGTAGTGAAACCATCCGCTGCATCTGACAAGGCAGTCATTGTCATACAAGACATCTATGGGTGGCAGCTTCCCAACACAAGATACATGGCTGATATGCTGGCTGCCAATGGATTCATGTGAGTAAAACTGACTATGCTGCACGCACTGATAATGGTGTGTGTGTGTGCTTTTAAAAGTAGACTACATAAACAGGCTATATGACATTTTGGTGGGTGAGTACTTATTTAACCCAGAAGCTTTTCCATATGCTGTGTTATTATGGCCAGTTTAACAGTGATTTCTTCTGCCATTGTTGTGCTCTGAGCAGTGCTGTCTGTCCAGACTTCTATGTTGGAAAGGAGCCATGGAGTCCATCACATGACTGGTCCAAATTTGAGCAGTGGCTTGAAGACAAAAAGCCAACAAACATAAACAAGTAACGAAACAGCTTTTTTCCAGATTACTTGGCAGCCAAGTTGAAAATGTATCTAGCTATAGTATGCATGTATCAAATGGGGCAGTTACAGTATCAGTATGGTCTGGTGTTTTGAAAGGCTTGCTGATCACATGCATTTATTAGCCTTTTTCCTTTATGCACTAGTTTTAAGGCGTTTTGGTCATAGTATTTCCCTCCTCAGAGAGGTGGATGCAGTGCTGAGGTTCCTGAAGGAGCAGTGTGGGGCCAAACACATTGGAGCAGTGGGCTTCTGCTGGGGAGGGGTTGCCACACATTACCTCGCCCTGCAATACCCAGAGGTCAAAACTGGAGTGTCAGTCTATGGTACATCATTGCTACAGTAAAGTTAATTTCACACACAATTCACTTCAGTGTAATCTTTGTCTTCCCAATTTCAAAAAAATCTATTAATATACCCCCCCCCCCCCAGGCATGCAGCATTGGTTTCTGTACAGTGATTTAATGATGGGATTATGTGGTGCTGCTGTGCAGGGATTGTTCGTGACACAGAGGACAGGTATGAGCTGAAGAGTCCTACGCTGTTCATCTTTGCAGAGAAAGATGAGGTTATCCCACTGTACCAGGTTAGTACGCATGAACCCCTCCACCCGGATACTTCCTTGCAGCAGCATCCATGTGTCTCCGATGTGTTAAAATACACCAGCGATTAAACATTTTCTGGCTCAAGGAACTTCTGTGCTGCAGAACCTCATTTTAAAATGTCATAACTGCTGACAACCCGTGCTCCCACATTTTGTTGCTCTTCCAGGTGAGAGTCCTTGAAGCAAAGCTGAAGGAGAAGTGCACAGTGGATTACCAGGTGAAGATCTTTTCTGGTCAGACTCATGGGTTTGTCCACCGCAAGAGGGAAGACATCAACCCCGCAGACAAACCCAGCATCCAGGAGGCCAGGGCAGACATGCTCAACTGGCTCAACAAGTACATGTAAATGAGAAGGTCGGCAGCATCAGCACAGCGATAAGAGCCAGTTACACATCACGAATGGTGCTTTTGACCACGTTTCTACACACAGAAGATCAACTTTCACAGACAAGATGAAAACATGATAAATTTAGCGATGCTATTTACAGCAAGCTCAGGACAGTGATTGAAATCATTTTTTTTCACATTCCAGTTTTCCAAATGTTATTGTAGATTTTATTTTAGGGGTCTGGGTTCATGTATGAACATGTATGAACATGTGGATACAGAAGAACTGTAATTCTAATGTTAAACTATAAAGCACTTTTGCCTTGTGTCCCCCAAAAATGGCTGCAGTACCTGGTATTGTATGGTATGAATGCAAGAATTAAATAGCATTCATATAAATGTGGATCACACTTTATGCATCAGCTTCCCAACTTTGTATATTCAAGTTTTGTAAGACATGTAATGTACACTTGATGTGGAATACACAAATAAAATAAAGATCCAGCATAATCAGGTTCAACATTGGGGCCTTAAACAGAGCTATGGAGTCAAATTTCAACGAACCAACATTTTAATGGGGACTTTGTTACTACAACAGCTTGAACATTTTGTATGAAATGATAAATAGCAATATGCAGTGCGGTTTGGACGTGGTGTTCAGGGGAAGTGCCTAAAACCTCAGAACAGCTCAGAAAGTGTTGCGGGAGGCCTTCAGTCCTCACTCTCTCCCGGGCTTCGGATGTCGTCAATCTTTAGGATCATCTTGACTACTTGAGTAGCCAGCAAGATCTGCTGCTTCTTGCCAATCAGGGTCTCAACCACATGTTGCTGCTTCATGTCTGTGGAGGAGGAAAAACAAAAAGCCATTTAATATGGTCTGACATCTCTCTGGTGTCTGCTTTGACACTGAAGTGCAGTGTTGCCACTGTCTGGCAGCTGGCTCCTTACCATTGGTGTTTTTGTGCAGACAGTCGATCCCGAGGAAGGGGTTGGTCTCTTTGACCTGTCTGGCTCTGACCTCTGCCATGGTCTGGATAGGGTTCAGCCCGCTATTCTCAGCCAGCGCCATTGGGATTACCTCCAGCGCATCAGCAAAGGACCTCATTGCATACTGCTCCAATGATGGGCACTAGAGAGGCAGAAATAAAGATGATCAGAGCAGTAAGAAAAACGGCATCTTGGTGGATTCAGAGTTTGCCAAAAAAAGTGTCAAACATTTATTCTCAATCCTAAAAGGAATACCACACTTTATTTTGCTCAATTCATTGTGTATCTGCCTTTTAGTGCTTCTCACCTTGTCTGCACCCTGGTTGACAGCCAGAGCACATGCAATCTCTGAAGCTCCTCCTCCATACACAACACGGTTGTCTTTGACCAGATTGCGAATTACACACAGGGCATCATGGAGAGCCCGCTTTGCCTCTTCAATGATCTAATGAGATAGAATAAAAACTTGAATAAAAAGGTCAACCAAGTGGGACAGAAACATTAATGGATACGTTGGAATAGAGTAAAAGTCACATTTGTGCTCACCATTTTGTTGCCTCCACGGATGAAAATGGTCACAGCCCTGGTGTTTTTGCACTCCTGGATAACCAACATGTGATCCTTTGTAGTGCCAAAGGAGATCTCCTTCACCACGCCAGCCACACCAAGCTTCTCTGGTGTCAACTCGCAGAACCGTGGCACGATACGCCCACCCGTGGCTATGGCGATCAACTGCAGAGAAAACACACTTGACATTAGGCAACAACGTCATTTCTACTTGATACTTTCTGCTCATCAGCAAAACGTGGCCATAAGAGATGAAGAACGTGAAAAATATTTTGCTCTACCATGTGACAAGCATCCCTTACCTCAATCTCAGGCCCTCCGACCCAGCGCACAGCCGGCAGCTCATTCTGCAGCAGAAGGTGGTTGGCTTCATCATCAAAGCCCCACTGGCAGATGGCCAAATTTGCGCCGACACTTTTGACCTAAAAGAGAAATAGGAGTTTTGAGATTAATCACATGCCAGTGCAGATGTGAAGAATTCAGTTCTTGTAGTGCTTCGACACTGCAGTACTAACCTGCTGGATCATCTCCTCAAACTTCTCCTTTTCATATTTCTGAAGGGCTTTGTAGTCCTCCACACAGGTCACATCCAACTTATGCTTGGTCTTGGGCTTAGGGGGCTCAAACGGGCAGGTAAGAATGGCGATTTTAGCATCCTTCAGAATCTGAGTGTTGACAACAAAGAATTGTGGTTAGCATCATCATCTTACAGTGGTCACAAACAGAAAATGGTCTAAACCTGTAGAGTTTTCCCGCAGCACTATAAAGCAATTAACCATGGCCAACTGAAAATATCCTTTCAAAGACCCTTTCATGCGCAGTGAGAGCACAGGCAGAGGGCTTATTACAGTCCTGCGAAGGCCAAGGATACCAGATTTTCTCATTTTTGTGTCAGAACATTTGATTTATTTATTGCTGTCGGGATGTAAAGAGAATTTCAACAAATAAAAAAATATCCTACTGAAATAAACTGCCTATCCCAGCTTTAACTTCTTGCAGTTACCGTTTAATAGACTTCAAACAATCACCAAATAATCTCCATCAACAAATTTTGTAAAATACTTGGCACAGTTATATAGACCGATGTCAGACATGTACATTTTATTTGTCCCTATGCACTGTCAAGACGAAACTGGCGATAGAGCAGATCACATCAATAGAAAGGGATATTCTCTCGTTTGTACCTTGGGCATCTGAGGGTGGCTGAACTCCTTGTCAACTATGACTCCCTTGATGAGCTGTGTGTCCTCCAGTTTGCCTCCTACTTTGCCCTCCACCTTGATGAGCTCAAAGTCTACATCCTTCCTCTCCATGTCAGCCACAGTGAGAATGGCATTCACCGCAATCTCTGCCATCTGTCTGTGGCACCGGTTGATACTGAAAGACAACAGTGGAACTTTAATTTGTGATATCTTAGATGTCACACAAGAAAATGACTATATCATGGTCTAGGGGTGTGCGATATGACAATATTAGATCGTGAACAATTAAAATGCCTCCACGACCTGCCTTTCCAAAGTGATCGTTGGTATCATGCTACAATGCACAGTATCAATTTAGTTCTGTAGCTACACACGCAAACATTAAAGTTCTTCGTGTTCCCCGTCTGCTCTGCTTTAACTCCCTGTGATTTATGGAGTCTGAAGATGAACAGAAAGTGTTACATGTTGCTAAAGTAACCGCTAACTGCAGCTGACTTGCTGCTGTTATCTTATTAGCTCAGTTAGCCAAGTGGTAATAGCTTCCTCAGCCTGGACTGGGAGCTCAGAGCACCAGGGGAGTGTTTTGTGTTTAACGTTACACCTCCACTCAAGCACTGGAGGTATTCAGGCCAGGATAACATCAGTGAGCGTTGCCAGATTGTTCACCAGAACCGGAGCCGAGCGAGCAGGTAACGAAACACAGCTCTCAGCAGCCTCCTTGTGAACATGCCATGAACACACGGACCAACAGGGAATACAGGGCCGAGGTGATTTCCGGGATGATACAGATATTATCACAGATCCAATTTACTTTTTGCTAAACTGCTAAGTTAACTGTATCTGCAAAGCTAGTTAGCTCGGTTAGCCGTGCTGCAAGCTGTACTATTAGCTGAGTCAGACCCGGTGAGCCAAGAGCCAAACCTGGCAAGAAAACCACCTCGGTCCTGTATTCTCTGTTGTCTCGGAGGCTGTGTTGGGTTCTGGTCCGGCCACAGTGTTCACTCACTGGGAGCTGAACCAGTCTGCACAGAGAGTCTGCATGACGAGGAAAGGGGCGTAACGTACATTCAGGCTATTGGCTACTGTAAAACGCCAATCAAGTTCTGCAACAAGTCCCTGTCTTCGTGTTTTTATGCAGAAGCAACTATTTAAATCTTTAAATTGTTAAAATAAAATGAATCAGTTCTTTGTTATTTGAATGAATCATTGGTCAACATTGTATACGATTAATAAAGTAGTGTTATTTTTCTCTTTTAAACTAACAAACTAATAACGTAGAAACAAAATAGTCTTAAAAAGCAACATGAAAATGAATCGTGATTAGATTGTGAACCATAATCCTGCCTGAAATAAATCGTGATATATTTTTGCCGCATCGCCCACCCCTATAATGGTCCATACCAAAATCTAAAGAAATGTAGCTTACAAGTGAAAACACGATTTAATAGTTTTCTGTTTTACATCTGATGTACCGAATAGTCAAGAGCATTTGTACACTCAGTTGCCAGTTTATTAGGTACAATAAATTAACAGGAACTACCTCAGATTTCTTACCATTAACTCAACTACATTCAGTTGCCAGTTTATTAGGTACTGCTAAGTAAAACTAATGCAGTCTAACATAACAGTCCTGCAATAAATCCTCCCCTTTATGAAAGTTAAAATGTTCAGTTTTAAACTGCTTCATTGAGGTGTTGATTTCAACTGTATGGTCATTTATGAGCATGTAGATAGTGGTGCTGTTATTTCGTATCGAATTATACGCAGATGTTTCTAATATTGTGTGTACTCTATTTATATAATGACCAATATTAACCTACATAAATGTAGGATTTATTGCAGGGCTCTAGCATTAGACTGCATTTGTTTTAGCTAGGTGTTCCTACTAAAGTGGTAATGGAATGGAAAGCAATCTAAGATAGTTCTTAGATTAGTTGTTGATTATATTGTAGCAATATAACACCGTTGTGTATATAAAACTCACATTTTTGATCCCAGTGTTGTCATGGCGGTCTCAATGAGTGGTTCTGTGTTGTTGGGATCGCAGGGGAGGGTTTCTGCAATTCTGTCCAGCTCGTCGACCGCAATGCGTGCAGCCTGGTCATAACCGTCAGAGATCCTGATGGGGTGGATCCCACGGTCTAGCAGCTGCTCAGCCTGCTCCAGCAGAGCGCCAGCCAGCACTGAAGAGGAAGAGGAAAATACAGTAAGACAGTAATGCTAACAATAACACTTACACATGGCTGACAGGTTTTCTTGATCAGAGCTGCAAAAATGTTGCTCATAACACGTTAGCTAAATTACATTTTGCATATTCCTAATCCACGCTTTTAGGGATACTTAAATTTCAAAGTTTTTATGAGAAAGTCAATATCGTCAAGACTTTGAGACTATGAGAAGGTGTTAACAGAAACTCATTAATAGTGTTCTTTATATTGTAGCGCACCATTTTTGTGTCTATTAATAACTGAAGAAAAACGTACCCGGATAAAATGCAATTATGCAAATCCTGTTGCATTTAGGGTAAAACAGCAGCTAAATAATTCTCTCTTCTACAAAAAAAAAAAAAAACCTTGAAAATTTTGGATTTTATGATCTAGCTGAGCCATTTCATTGCAAGCCTTGGCACGATTATCAATACATTTCAAAGTGAGGGTCTATAATGATTGCACAGCAGTGCAGAAAAGTCTCCTTTTCAGAAACTCTAGGGTTGTATAATGTTGTGATAATTAACATGTTGAACCCTATGTTAAAGACCACCAGAAAGAGCAGAAAGGTATAAATTCAGGTTTACAGTCCATAAAAAGAACCCCTTGTTTTTCTTTCCCGTACCAACAACTCCAGTGGTTCCATCACCAATCTCATCATCCTGGGATTTGGAGAGCTCCACCATAAGCTTGGCAATCTGGTGGTCCACGTCCATCATGCTAAGAATAGTGGCTCCATCGTTGGTAACTGTTACCTCTCCATCCCTGTCAACCATCATCTTGTCAAGACCTGGATGCAAAAAATTTAATAAATGGGTCAGGAGAAGTGAAATGCGCGATATTGGCTAAACGATTACAATAGCTGTCACACAACTGTATGTGGGAAGGATACCAAATTTACAAAGTCGAGCTCAATATACAGAAGTTATATTGATGGCCAGCATCTACGCACTCATCCAGCCTTGTCATATGATTTATCGTTTTGACAGGAAGTCTGATGTGGAGAGACAGCTAGCTGAAATAGTGGCATCGGCAGCTGCTGCTGCTGCTGTGACAGCTCTACATTGGTTTATACTCACCATTAGGTCCCAAAGATGTTTTAAGCGTTGACGCCACTGCCTTGGCTGCCATAATATGAGACTGCAACACACAAACATTTTCATGTCAGCTCACAATTTGAGTAATTCCCTATTCTTAGTTTCTAAACCGAAGACAGATTGAAATTGCCATCTGCAAAAAATAGTTAAAAAACTTTTATATGAAAATGTTGCGCATCCATAAAGCCCATTTTGGGCACAGCCCTGTCTAGCAACACTCACCCAACACGCCTTGCACATGGGCCTCAATATTAGCATGACCAGCAAATCCTTTCACTAACGCTATGCTGTGGTTTTGCACAAACCTCTTCGTTTTCCAGTTGAACACATGCTTACAAAACATAGCCTTTGTTAGCAACACATATCGTCTCCGGTTTAACGTATTTAACGTCGTGCAGCTAACAGCAAATTAGCAATTTGCTAACCAACGTGCCACAACTGTGCTCCGCTAACTAGCCCATTGTACGTACCTTCAATGCGCCAATGCCCGATAACCGTGTCTTCTTGTCCTGGTCTTTAATGATGATGAAAGGCCTCCCATACTCATCAAACGCCAGTGTCCCCATTGCGGACATGTTGACTGTGAGATTAGGACACTTAATACGTGTTAAACGGATAAAATGATGAGTTTTTACGATGTAAACCTGGAGTGTGGCTTAACTACAAGCCGCACGGGTCTGCCGGCGACTTCTGGAAGGATCCACGGGCGGGGAGGGCGGAACCAAGTAGAATTAACGGTGTTTTTATTACACATTTAAACAATCGTTTTATCAAGACAAACAACGCAGATTTAATTAAACCGTTATGGAATGAGTCGGGGAAACAATTACAAGCTTTTCATACAGATTATTTAAAAAAAAAAGAAGAAGTTTTCTTATGACGTGGTTTCTTCCGATCACGTTCACTGGTCTCGCGTGAATTCCAGTGATGCAATTCCATGAGGACTGACTTGGCTGGGCTGTGTGCATTTCCACAGCTGTATTCAAAAGGTAGGTAGTATATCTTAACATAAAACTTAATATAGCCGCCTTCTTTTTATGGTATTTAACCATCTGTACTTGTTTAACATGATAGCTCGTAAATACACCATCCGGGGATCAGATGTCGGCAACAGGGCTTGTTATTTGTCATTTATTTAGTTACTAACAGTGAGCTAAAAACGTGTTCTCTCTTAAACTCTACTGTCTTTGTGACGTGGTTGTTTTTACATTTAGCGTTACATTATGCAAAGATAAATAACATGCTCGAGTCACAGTTATCAAAACGTGACGCAACATCCGTGTACTTCATGGTGGCGTTCAGGACAGTTGTTACACGGTAAATAATGTTGCAAAGGCCGGTCTGTGACAGTCTGTTACCTGCTGTCAATGTGCATTTTGTAGGTCCGCCGAGATATCCACGATGCACAGCTCTACAACAGAGTACTTTACTTAATCCTCTCAGTAGCAGTTACTTGACTTGGTCCATGAGCTCTTTATAGTTTCTGTCCACAAATTGTTTCAGATCTACAAATTAAGTTACGTTCTTTTTCCATGACTCTGTAGCATGCCCTGTGAAGTGAAGCCTCGGTTCGTGGTTCTGTACGGGTCTCAGAAGGGCCAGGCCCAGTCCATAGCAGAAGGGGTTGCTGAGGTGGCGGAGGAGCACGGACTGGTTGCTGAGCTCAGCTGCTTGAACCAAAGTGAGAAGGTAGCTATTGCTCATTAAAACCCTTTATACTTGTAGCAGAGCTGTTTAAGCCCCTCTTATGTTGCATGGCTGTCAATAATATATTAGTAGAAGTGATATTACCTGATGATTTTGTGGATATTAAAGTTTTCACATCGACTGGTGCAAACACAAGTCACTGTTTAATCATATAACTGGTTCCAGTACAATTTGGAGAAGGAGAGTGCCCCAGTGGTCTTTATTGTGTCTACTACTGGAGACGGGGAACCGCCAGACAATGCCCTCCAATTTGTAAGGCGCATCAAGAAGAAGACCCTCTCCACTGACCACTATAAACACCTTTCGTATGCACTTTTAGGTAAATTCTAGGTCTGAGGTTGCTTTTTTTTCAGTGCGTCTGTCAATGTGGGGGACTTGGTTTGCAAAACACACAATCATTACAATGCAGAGCACTGCACAGTGTTTACACAGTTACTGGCTTGAGAAATTGTCATCTGTTTTTCTCTGTCTGCTCCAGCTTTAGGAGACACAAATTATGCAAATTTCTGCAACGGTGGGAAGACAATTGAGCGTCGTCTACAGGAACTTGGAGCCAAGCAGTTCTATGCAACGGGATATGCAGATGATGGTGTAGGGTGAGTTCTACAGAAAAATATAGACAAGTACATTCAACTTTCAGCATTTGACCTTTATCTTACCCATTTTCTTTCTCACGGACTTTGTTTTCTCCAGGCTGGAAGTGGTCGTGGACCCCTGGCTTGAAGGACTGTGGAGTGCAATCAAAGGAGCCTTATCAAAAATGGCTTCTGCTAGGACTGGTTACTTGAAAGGAGAAGAAGGGGATTCACCAAAGGAAACTCGTGATTCATCCATACCAGATGTCCAACTAAACCTCTTAAGCGTCACTGACCACCAGAACTGCGAGTCGGTCGGAGTATCTGTACAGACGGTCTCCAATTTTGCATCTGCTGCTTCGCCTTCATCTTTGGCTGCACAGACTGCTGTTTCTGATCCCAGGCCAGCTTCTCCTGCAGAGAGCCCTGGGTTGGCAACCCAGTCTCCTGGTGCTGCCAGTGTTTTTACATCAGTACCGGAGACACAAATCAGGGATGCTGGAGTTCCCGATGTTGCATTGGCAGCCTCTCTGACACACTCCCTGCCGCCGCTGTCTGAGTCTTCTCTTAATGTTCCTGCTCTGCCTCCTCCCTACCTTGATGTCTCTCTTCAGGAGGTAGACACTGTGGAACAGGTGAGGAATGCTACTGCTGATAAAAAACCAGTATCTTTGCCATATTTCATCTCTGATCTAATAAATGTTTTTGGTCAGATTGTTGGACCGTTAAACAAAGATGCTCTCCATGAGGTTCCCATATCCAGGGCTGTACAGCTGACCAGAGGAGATTCAGTCAAGATGGCTCTGCTCTTAGAGCTGGACATCTCTGTAAGCCTGACATTTTTCTAAACATGCGATATGTATTTAGATAGCTTTAGCAGTTGCAGTTTCAACTTTTAGATGCTTCTTTTTCCTAGGATTCCTCAAAGATGACAACCTATCAGCCAGGGGATTCGTTTGAAGTGTTCTGCCCAAACAGGGCCACAGAGGTGGAGGATATGCTCCACAGATTGGGCCTAAATGACCACAGGAACCATAGAGTGCACATTTCTCTACGTAAAGACACTAAGAAAAAAGGTGCGCCTGTCAACAAGCACCTAATGTTTTCTTGAAAAGAGCATTTTAGCATTTCTTCCAAATAGATTCTTGTGTTTGTGACATTCATATCTACCCTATTGTGATAATTCTCAAATGCTCTTTCCTCCCTGGTTTTAGGCGCCCAGGTGCCATCCTACATGTCCCAGAACATTTCTCTGCTGTACCTCCTCACATGGTGTCTAGAGATCAGAAGTGTTCCTAAGAAGGTACTGCATGTCCAAACATTGCTCTACAGCTACTTACTTTGTAAACTGCATTGGCCGAGACACTTTTTGATGTGTATCGGCATAGTGAAACGGAAGACATTGTTATGTCGTCTCCAGCTAAAGCACACTGCTTTTATTGCTTGGAAGAACATCTATTATATTTAATTAGGACGTGCAATAATACTTGAACACAATTAATATTTATTTATTTGGATCTACTTACTGAACAGGCATATGGGTACTCAAATAGTCTGTCAACACAGGGTCTGGATCCAAAAGATTTTCATTGGTTCATAGTTTGGTTTGACTGAATTTACCAAGTGTCGGTCTGAGGCTGAAATAATGAGTAAACTTTCTTAGACCTCTGTGGCAAATGGAGATGAACACATTTGGTGCTGGAAATGTCAAATGGCCACAGTCTTGAGCTTAGGCAGAGCCAAAACTTTGACCTGGAATGAGTTTCACCCGATTCCCTTACATTTTTACCTTTCTTTAAAATACTATACAGTGACTGCTAACTTGTGTACCCTGTACTCTTTGTCCTGTTTCTAATTTCCATTTCCCAAGCTATTTTCCCCACCAAATTACACCCTCATCTTGTTTTTTTTAGTTAAATTAATTATTTAATAAAAACATTATCCAACCAAAATGAAAACCAGTAATGTCCCTCTGGCTCCAGGTGCATCAGTAGTTTATTGTTCTTTGTAATTAGCACACTGACTGACAAATTGAAGACAATTTGTAAAGTGTCAAAATAAGGCCAATTGCTTCTTAATAAATACAACATTTTAAGTATTGCTCTGCATGCATCATTCTTTAAAAGCACAAAGTGCCCTATTTTAATGATCTAAGCGCGTGAAAATGACAACTGCGTCGGTTCAAAACTAGAAATGACTCTGCGCTTTGTGTCAGGTGCAAGTTAGGGCCCAAAATCACACCGCACTTACAAGATAATATCCCCTGTGGCACACTGCATACTAAACGTTTACATCACCAAAACCATCCATCCATCGTCAACCGCTTATCCTGCGTACAGGGTCGCGGAGGGCCGGAGCCAATCCCAGCGTACGTCGGGTGAAAGGAGGGGTACACCCTGGAAAGGTCACCAGTACATCGCAGTACATCACCAAAACATGTTGCATTTTGTTTTTAAACATAAAAAATAAAGTTATGTTATGCAGTAAGTTTGGTCAGAAGGATGAATTAGAGACACTAGAGAAACAGTGCTTCTGATTTCGGTGCTGATTTTATTAGAGAAGTTTTTTAACTGTACAAATGAAATTGATCATGTGTGAGAACTATATTGTCCATCCTGATGGTAACAGCTACCATCTGTTCAGTTCCCTGCTGTATACAAGACTCATTTTGTCCTCTTTGTTATTGAATTCCTATACAAAAATTGATTGTATAGGGTCAAACTGTTGTCTACAGTCTTACAAGGCAGTAAGAGTTTTATTTCACAACACCTGTCTGTGTAATCCAAGCAGTTAATCTGTTTTACTAAGGCACTTACAACATCTGTAATCTTTATACTCTAATAAAGATAATCACCTCAGCCTCATAGTAAGTACAATTCCTAATAATATACATAACTGAAATACAGAAAGATATACTTGGCATGTCGCTGCTGAGACAAATATCAATGTTACCCGGGCTATCCACAATTCTTTTGGCACTGGATTGGAATATAGGGATAATATGTCTTCCAGTGCACGCTACAAGAATACGTCACTAATCTCTCCCTACATACATGCACTCATAAACTATAATGAATCACTGAAATTATACAGACTAATTAAGCCTGACAAATATCTAGAAGTTGTGATTACTGTATCCAAGTGATTGATAGTCGTGTAATAAAGTAGGATCCCTCCAAAAGTTGTTGTATTTTTAATATTTTTTCATGATCCCTTTAAAACCTCTAATTTGTATCACAGCCTGCGAGAAGATGAACAATAATTGATGAAATACCAGTTAAACAGTTGCTTGTTGTCCGTAAATTTAACATATTAATTGATTGCATTCATTCATTTTGATGAATGTTGTTTAAGGATTAAAAGAATGCCTCTGCTAATTTATCAGTTGCGTTAAAAGCATTAAATGGTAAACTCAGTGTGTTTTACATTGAAAGACAGGATATGAAAATATAGGCATACACAAGAGAACATGGGTAAGATGAGCATACCATACGCTCAAAACAATCAAATAGAAACGGCTGCCCTATCACGTAGCTGCACATGTAACCGACTGTACAAGGAACAAGTGCTGCCATACGAGTACACATGCAGACACAGAAATTAACCACAAGCCCGGGGGAATAGGAAAGTTTAGAGTATGCTTTTGAATGTGGACACAGTTGTGATGGACCTCAAGTCAGCAGGCAGCTTGTTTAGTTTAATAACAGTTTTACAGCGACAGAGAGTGCATTGTGCATAATAAAATGGCTGTATTCCAAAACTGGGCTGGTGTCAAAGTCTGTTTATCCTAGAAAACTAACAAAGACTTAACATTTTATATGGCCTGTGTGCAATGTGGCATTTTCGTTTTGTTTTGACTGCAGTGTTAAAAAATGTATTCAAAGCCTTTTTTCTTTTCTTTTTACCGTGAATCGAAACCTAAGTCGAAGAAACCATGACCTTTACCACCGACAGAACAGCTTCGAGTGACTTTACTTCCTATCTCGGTCTTTCTGTCTCTCTTGTCAGGCATTTCTCCGAGCTCTAGTGGATCACACGGCGGACAGTGTGCAGAAGAGGAGACTGCAGGAGCTCTGCAGTAAACAAGGCGCCGCAGACTACAACCTGTACGTGAGAGATCCGAGCCTCAGCGTTTTGGAGCTTCTGGCAGTCTTCCCGTCCTGTTCGCCTCCTCTCAGCCTCCTCATAGGTCAGAGTGCCTGCTGTTATCTCACTCTGTCAGTCAGCCATGAAGTCCAAAATTCTTTGTCTGTAGTAGTCAGGGATATCGTGTAAAAACTATCCTTGCCAGGTGTGTTAGATAACAGGCTGCTTGAGAACCAGTGTGAAGATAAAAATCTGATCAAATGTCACATTAATTTTCTATCATTTTTATTTTACTTCATCTCATCATGTCACATAGCAAATGGGTACATTTTATGCCTAACATTTATCCAGAGACTAATGGGAAAACAGACTAATGCTGGCATATTTTTAAGCTGTTTTTCAGTTAGTTTTTTATTGAAATTAATAGATGCACTTCTTAATTAAAAGCAGGCTTTCATGTTGCCTGAAACAAACAGGGTAGTGCAGCGATTTGGGCACACGAGAGTGGGGATTTCGACTGCACCTGTACAAAAATATCACTGGAATAAATTACTGCAGAAGTATTTACTTCACTTTTGAAAATACCTCAGGTTATGTCAAGTCTGTCTATATTATATTTGTTTTGCTTGTCTGTCTGGATAGCTCTTGTCCAGTAGGGGGCACTGTAGCCCCAGGAAAACAAGCTTTGTGAGCCCAGTCTCAAGGCAGAGTTTGTCAGAGCATTTAATTATACTGAATGGTCAGACAGTGTACATCGGAGGGCTCCCCAAAGGATCAACACTCATTTCCATGCTTCATTTTTAAATACATGTGGCCCCAATATGGTTTTTGTGCCGCCGTTTCTGTGAATATAATGGCAGAATGTAGCTGCATGTCAAGAGGTATTTGCTCAGTTTATTCATCATTTCCCTCCCTGCTAATAATGTTTGTTAATCATTTTTTGCTGCTGTCAGCCATCTATTGCGTCCCCCCTTTGACCCTATGAGCCAACTGTTGGTAGAAAGCTAACATTTTCTCCCCTGCTCATTAAGATAGTTGGCCGGTCATTCAGTATAGATCTAATAAGCTTTGACTGAAACTTACCAGACAGTGAAATGAGTTGGCTACAGCTTTACATACAAGTTAAGTTGTCCTCTAAAAACAGCTGTGTCACAGCTCCTGGCCTACCCAAGTGTCAGTTATTTTGGGTCTACTTGCCAACCACAGCACCTTTTTCTTTTTTTTCCTCAGTGGTGAACTGATGCAGATATTGGGAATCGCTAAATTGTGCCCTCGTGAAAAATGCGGTCTTGGAGGCACTTCAGGGCAACAGCTGTTATTTGGGGGACAGGGAGCCTTTTACTAGGGAGCCACTGAGCTTTGCAAGGACATAAGTGCGCAGGGTCCGTTTGGATCAGAGGTTAATGTTCAACTCTGACTCTTTGAGTTTGTCACTGGTAAAGTGCACTGCTGCATTTTTGCACTGTTCTCGGTTCATTACCTCGACCGGAGGGGAGGTGTTTGCTGATCAGAGTTTATGCTTATACACAAACTATAAATAATGAGGAGAGATGTGTCTGGGCGCATATGTCTTTGGCCAAGTGCAGGCTGGGTGTAAAAGTAAATACTGGGTATAAAAGGAGAAAGATACTTACTTCCTAGAGTCAGCTTTCTTTTTATATGGTCCATGGCGTGTCAGATGAAAACTTCGGGATCATAGCCCCAGGGAGCCGAATGCTGTCCATGAGCATCTTTTTTTATTTACTTTACCACAGGGCTCAAATGAAATTGTACCAGGGTGCAGTTTTCTTCTTCTTTTTTTCTCCCTTTTAGCTCGATTGTGACCTGCAGAAAAAAGTAGAGCAAACTAAAGTCTCCCTGTGCTTCCCCTCTGTCTAGAAAAGCCTGAAATTTAAAACAAAGTTTCCTGATGACAGAGAACGCACTGCATATCACATAATTCCATCTTTATTCATTTAAATTACAGTAAAATGCCATGGAAAACTTTAAAATGGTGTTTGAAAACCATGAGCTTGCAGGTCCTTTTTTGAGATGTTACCCCAAATTTGCATTTGTAGGCTATTTAAAAAGAGAAAAAGCCTTGTCAAGGGGAATTCTTCTTAATGCTTTAATGCTAACCGCTTCCTTAATTCTCCCCCAATTCCATCTGCAGCCAAAGAAACTATCCATATATCTTAAGAAGTATAACTTTTATGTTCAACCACATTGCCATCTCATTTTTTTTCTCCCAACTAAAATGGTACCTCTACATATAAATTGCAGCACAGAGAGACTTTTGAGATGGAATAGATTGTATTGTTGTGCAGTATGATCGATGACACCCCTGAAAATCATCATTTCTGAAAACATAGTGGGGACCCTGGGACTGTATTTATTTGGGAACAGAGACCATTTTTTTTTTAAATACATATTTTAGGAGGTATTCTCAAGCCACTTACTGCAAAAAAGGGGGAAGAAGACAAAGCTTTGCACTCAGAGGTTTTAAAAGTGATCTATCCTTTGTATCTACCAGCAGTATCATCATGGTGCAGTGATGTGAGATGATGGATTGATTGTCCTCTGTTTCGGACATGTGCTGTCACTCTGATAGAAGGGCAGAAACTCGAGCACCGTGCAGCTGCTGAGGATTGTGTTAACGTACAGGATACACCGTCTGATGGAGAGGTGTGTGTTTCCACTAGAAAGGATTGTTCGATATGTTGTATGTGATGATTTGTCCTACTGGCGTTTTATGAGTACGAATAATGAATTCTGTTGCGTTGCAGCTTAGTCCTGATTCTTTCTCAAGATTTATTTCATCATTATCGTCATTATCATTTGGCCCAAAATATAGTTATATATCAAACATCAATAATAGAGCTGCAAAAATTAGTTGATTAATCAAGGAATCGATTGAGTGAACATTCATCTGCTCACTTATTTTGTTAACCAATTGATTGTTTTAGTCATTTTTCAAGCAAAAGAGTCGATCACTCTCTGGTGCCAGCTTCTCAATTGTGAGTAATTGCTGCTTGCCATCTACTGTGATAGTAAACTTAATATCTTTGCTTCTAATATCTTATCTTGAATTAATAATCACTTATTTAAGAACATAATTGGCAGATTAACCAGCAATGGAAATAATTGTTAGTTGTAATCAAAAATATAACAAGATGTCTTCCTGTAATACATAACCAAAAGGGAAAAACATCAGTTATAACATTATGTATACGTCTATATTCTTTGAATACCAGGTTTTTGTACAAACCTCAAACAAGATTTTCCTGATAAAGGGCTTTTCCCCTTAAATACCAGGCTTTCTTCGAGTGTTTAGTATCTGAGTGAGTCTGATTGAAAGTGTAGTGGAAGGCTGCTGTTTGGGCAAGGCCAATATTTTTGTTCTAAACCTTCTTTCAAACTTATTTCTTACTTAAGTGTTTCACGCATCAACATTAAAAAAAAAACAGAAAAGAAAATCCTCAGCCCAAAGAGATGAAATGGACGTCAAAGTCTGGAGCTGTCTCGCTAACACCCTGAGCTGTTTAGATGTCAGAGAAATCCAGAAAGAGAGGAGAGAGCAGATTCCGTCCAGCTGTTTGTCTTTTCAAGCAATTTAGCACAAAAGAAGTGTTATTATGAGGCCTCAGCTGGTACATATGGTGTAGCTTTACTTTTCCAGGTTCATCTATCAGTGAGATACAAATACAGTGTAAGGGAACATATAGCAAGCACATCACAGAACTCTCAATCACTCTTTTTTCCCCCCACAACTAATAGTTTGTAGTGGTCATATTGCATAGCAAATGACTAATCTTGGTGCTACAGGGTGAAAAGTTACCTCTAACTCTTATAAGTTTTTCTGATTTCTCTGACACATCCTTGCGGATGCAATGCACACTACATATTACCCAAAAGAGGGCACCTTCATGGCTGGCATTGAAATAAGGTTTGCATAAGCAATCTGTTTCCTACTGGCTCCACATCTGGACACTTGGGATTCCATAACCCCGAGTTTGTAATTTCATAAATATAGAAGTGTGTCCTAGAAACAAGACTGTAACCTGGGTGGGGGTTACGGAGGATAGATTGGTAGGTAGGACGTCTCAATGGGCCGAGATGACTTTCACTTATTTTGTCTCCTCTCTGTCATGGTTGTCTGTGTAACAAAATCTAAGCAATACAGCTGGATGATTGACAGTTGTGCTTGCCTTTCAGAGCATTTGCCGAAACTGCAGCCCAGACCTTATTCAGCAGCCAGGTAAGGTGACAGAAGAATAAAAACGCCGATTTAATTTTGCACTGCATGAACCTGTGCACAAATGTGCTCTTTTAGCATCATTCTTTAAGTACATGTGGTTGTCTTATTCTTGCCACATCATTGTGTAGGCTTCCTCATTTCTATTGATGTTTCCTAGCTGCACAATAAGTATACATTAAGAAAATGTACAAAGACATTAATAGTTCATTATGAATTGAAGAATTGAATACTTGGATGTGTTTCCGTATAAATTAAAACATCTGGCTCTCTTACGCAGCCATCTTATTCCAAACTTGATTATATTCCCAATAATGGCAAAGATAGAATATTTGTGTGTTTAGCAAATAATGATTTCATTTAGATTTTTCTTCTGTTCATTCACTTTGCAATTTTTTAATTGATAAATTTAATCTATTATTATTTTTCTACACCATACAAAAGTTGAGAAATCTTCATATAATTTATGATCTAAGTTAGTTCTTTTTAAGAGGCTGCATAGAATGTGTTATGCCCCAGAGAAGATGCATTATATTAACAGTGAAATGCCATTTTTAAGTGGTAGTGTACAGTACAGTACATATATTTTGGTCTTGTAACCCTCCAAACTAATTTCGCAATCTGTTGTTGTTTTATTAGGTAGTAGTAGTAAAAACCGGCGAGTTCACAAGATACAATATGTATTGATCTCGCACTATTGACAGTGGTTAATTATCTGTCATTTGATAGGGTATTATAACGTGTATATATAATTATTATGTATGTGTGTATATTTCTAAAGTTTGTAATGGATTCCCTTTGTCAGACCCTGAACATTGTAGTCCATGTTATGTGTGCTTTTGTTTGGATGGGTATTTATAGATGTAATTCCCTAATACACTCAACAGTGGGTGTAAAAACATGCACAAAGGAATGCACTGTAAATATTGTATCTATTGTTTTTAGGTAGTGGGGCTTATTTTAAATAGGCTCTAGTGTTCCTTCTTTTTGCCCCACTTAGCCAGTCATTGATTTGCTCTTCCTGTTAAGCTACTACCCATTAGGTTTGCTTTAAAGCGTATGTGGAACAGCAACATCTAACGCAATGTCAAAACTTCTCCGCTCCTCTCATTAGGTCCTCACTTAGCTGCTAATGTGTGTGTATGTTTGTGCAGAGAGACAGGGTACGGACAGGAGAGAGGGTGGCTGTAGTTTATCAGATGGTGCAGAGACATTAGAGGCCTGCATTATTGATGCTGTGGTCAATAGAGGTCTCCAGTGGCCCACAGGAACTGGAGAATGAAGGATGAGAGAGCGTGAGACTTCTTCAGCTGGCAGTGAAGACTGGAACAGAGAGGAGGGAGAAGCAGTTTTATTGAAGCAAGACAGACAAAGAAAGATATTTCTTCTCTCTCCTAGCAGTATTTTTTAAGTTATTTTTCTAGAATGAAGTGCTCTTCATTGTGTGGACCTAAGGTGTACTTTTATAGTTGCTAGGGGTGTGGAATAATGGATAAAATAGTTTATTTCAAGTAATAGCTAAGCAGATGAAGTCATTAGCTTAAAGTAATGGCTAAGAAGTTGTAGTTAGCTAAAAGTAATGGATGAGCAGTTGAAATACTTAGCTAAAAGTAATGGATGAGCAGTTGAAATAGGTAGCTAAAAGTAATGGATGAGCAGTGGAAATAGGTAGCTAAAAGTAATGGATGAGCAGTGGAAATAGGTAGCTAAAAGTAATGGATGAGCAGTGGAAATACTTAGCTAAAAGTAATGGATGAGCAGTGGAAATTGTTAGCTAAAAGTAGGCAGTTGTAGTAGCCTAATTAGCTGAAAGTAACGTTAATGGTTAAGTTGTTGTAGTAATGTTAGTTAGCTAGAAGTAATGGTAAGGCAGTCATAGTAGTTAGTTAAAAGTAACGGATAAACTGTTAAAATAGTTAAAGTAAAATAATAATAAATTGCATTCAGTTTAAAATCCATTCAGAAGAACACATAACATAACGGGTGGTGTTGATGAGTGGGTACTTGAGCTCATCTGACAGGGGTATGTCAGACAAAAAAGGTTGTGAGCCACTGACGTAGATTATAATTTAGCACATTTTAATGTCATGTACATATTTGTAATTGGCATCCCATCAAAAGCTGTTGTTTAACTACATTTCTCTAAAGGCAGTTTGTGTGAATCATTTGTAGGAGCATTGCTGTATGTCCTTGAGAATTTATCCTCCCTCGTAATGCTTGTGCCTTTCTTTACCCTTCTGTTCTCCCTCTGCTTCTGTATTTCACTTCATCTCCCTGCTTGTGTCTGTCTGTATGCCTTGCACACATTCTTGTTTCCCTCTATCTCTGTCTTCCTCCATCTCAAACTCTCTGTGGTCCCATCTCTATAGCTCCTGTCTTAGGCACCCAGGAAAGCTGCATTTTGTCTTTAACATAGTAGAGTTCCCAGCGTGCTCTGGGCGGCCTGCAGGGAGGCGAGGCTTGTGTACCAGTTGGCTGTTTGACCTCATCAATCCTGTCCTGGTTTTCCCTGGGAAGGCTGAATCCTCCGGCAGCCTGGCTCTGCCAAAGGTAATGAGTAAACTGGAAAATGGAGAGCTAGATTGTGTAAATTTGTGAACTTGGCTGATATATTTCTTGGTCTTGGCTGATAAGTGCTCATATTTGCGCGTACAAGTGCTGTAATAGTTTCAATCTCCCACTCATAGGGAGAAAAGTATACTCATGTATACACCTCCTGGCTAGGTTGAAATCCTGCTATGCCTTACTTTGCCCTCCCTTCTTTGTCTTTGTCTTAGTTTTGTATCAGTAAAAATGTTAGGAGAGCTGGGCTGCTCATTCTCCTTCAGATATTACAGAAGAGCTTCTTGAGTAAAATAGAAGGCAAGTGTGGATCAGAATATCAGATAATTGTGCAGTGTCTTCATGAAACTGCAGAACTCGAGGCTTTAGGGATTGAACCTGTTTCTACTACATGTTTTAAACTGCTCTAGGAACTCAATTTTAATGTGTGAGACACCAAAAAAAGAACAAGCTCTGGGCCAGTTGTGTGCGGTTAATTAAAGAATTAATTCAAATTAAAGCATGTGAATCCTCTCTACAACAGACTCTATGGATTCCAGTTGGAACTCATGAGTTTTCCTATTAGTATGGCTTAGAATATTAAGTAGATCAATTAATAGATTGGTAGGCCCACAGTGGTTTCTCAGCATTGTTGTAATTACTCTCATTATTTTAAATGCTTGCTAATGACCTCTGACCCTAGATCCATGTGAGTTTGAGACCCAGCTGCTCATTTCGGCCTCCCTCTGACCTGTCGGTGCCGTTCATAATGGTTGGACCAGGCACAGGAGTTGCCCCCTTTATTGGATTTCTCCAGCAAAGGTATGGCAAATTTAATATTTCATTACAATAATATCTTGCAACATAAGAAATGACATTTTCATCAAGTTGGAGAGACATGGTGGATATTGAGATCCCCCATTTTGCAAATGCCTCCTTCATGAGGAAACAAATGCATGTGGTAATGTACTTGATCCTGCCAATGTTGTACATGTTACAAGATATGCTGCTGAAGTAGGTCAGCTAAATGTTCATATCAAGCATCAGAAACACGCAGGTTACATGCTAATTGGTGCACTGTGTGACGTAGATAAAATTCTGCACCCAGTAATGAATATTCACATTGTTCAAGTGATGTTAAGTGCACACCATCTATCCATATTTTCAAGGAATCTGCGGAAACAATTAAATGAGACCCCGCTCAAAGTCGATGAGAGTCGACGTTATGTACATCTCATAAGGCATAATAAATCTAGCAGCGTGGGCCGTGATCACGTCAGGGATTATTTCAGATGCTTCACTCGTCTCAACAGGAATAAATTGCGCCCTCTCCGATGCAGAAGTTTATGACTCGGCTTGTAATGAAGAGCCAGGAGTCAATGCAGCACATGGAGCGTTATTGATTTAAAAGTAAAAATTCCAGTAGTAGGTGGACACGTTGTTGGAGTAAATAATTGCTTGTAATTGCAGAAGAGGTGTTGTGAGGATACTGACTGTTAGCTGAGTAGGTACGTTCTCACCCGCTTGTTAAACCACTGCTGAAAGAGTTAAATGCTTGAAGAGTGCTATCATTTGGTAGAAAAACGTGACATTTTGTTAAATTTTCTGAGTTTCTGAAATGATGGCTTAATCAAGATTGCAAGACGATGACCTGTCAGAAGGATTTAATGTGAGTGAGGCTTCTCTATCCAGTGTCATGCCTGTGTGTTGAACCAGGCCCCACATCCACCATGACTAGTTAGAAAGTCAGACTGACATGTCTAACTCTTTGGTGGCTTTGTATAAATGAGGTTGTGCCCCAGTCAACTCCAATTGTCTCTAAATCCCTCGGACGTCTGATGTTTTTTTGCGCGTGGCATCAGCGGGTGATTGCTCAGAGAGGTGACACGGCACCGACTGATGTGACGATGGATTGTCTGCAGCAGGTTTCGTGGGAGGATGAGTGGTCATCTGGGGTGAGAGGTGCTCGCGCATTTTGGGAGGCAGGAGTACTGAAGATGCCACACGTTTTTCGGATTGACCTTGTTAAACCACTCGCAGACAGACTCCTCTTCTTAATGATCAAGGTTAGGCCAGAGGGACAGTACTCTGGTGGAAGGCAGTGATATGAACATATCAGTCTAACTTTGATCCTTACAGTGGTACCCAAACACAGCTCTTGAAAATCTAAGATATCAAAATGCACTTTTTAAGTGTTTTATTAATGGTCTGCTCTTGTAGACCTACTTGTCAGTGCAAGCAGAACACTCAGAGATTAAATGATTTTAGGAAGGCTTTGTTTCATAATACAACAACCACTAGCTCTCATCAAATGCATCCTTGAGAGTCCAATGTTATTTTTTTTCTTTGAATAAATTTAAAATCTTTTTTTGTTTTTCTTTCACAAGACTCTATAAGTATATATATATATAGTATAAAGTCACAACAACCAATTCATCAGCTCGACTGTCTCCTCAGTCCCTTCTCCCTCTCTGTGTCTCTCATGCTCTCTCCTGCCAGCTGTGTATTGTGCTGGAGGATTGTAAAAACCTGTCGTGGTGTGCGGCATTATACAGACTCTAGCTTGAGATTCCAAACAAAGCCTTGCTGGCTGACGCTGCACTCTGATAGGAGATAACAATCACCAGTTTGTCACCGGGACACCGGATCTGCCTCAAGGCCCGAGAAAGGTCCTGTTAGCAACAAAACAACATGGGCACACTTCGATCTTTCTACCTCTCCCCGCCTCCCAGCCTCACTGTTAATCGATGGCTGTTTTCAAAAGTACTTTGTATGAGTTTGTAGCGCTGGTAACAAGTGGAAGAAGCGTCTCTAAAGGTCAGATGCTCACTTGGCAGTACCAGGAGATTTTAATAACGCTCCCCAGAAGTCTGGTATTGATTGCTGTGGTTGGCGTGGAAGGATTTTATGGAGAATGTGATTTTCAGTGTCTTTCTCTTTAGCTGGCAGCAGTGACAGTTAAACAAATGTATTTTAACTGAGTGGTTAGCCTTAATCTCCTTAACAGCTTGAACAAGCTTTTCTTTTAGAAAAAAATAACAGTTTTCTCAGTTTAATATTTAGGTTTGCCGGTAGGCCCACTTGGCACATTCAGTATGACAACTTTTATTAAGTTTGTGTTTTTGTGTGAACAAATATTGAGCTTCCATTTATCAGTCTAACCAGACAGCTGATCACAATTAGGCTGCAGCATCTTGCCACTCAGCATTGTCCTATATTATGAAAACATTTTGAATTGTTGAATGTATATGGGTGTAATTCTGCAACGTAATTTCAGTGATTAAGCATCAAGCTGTTGTTGTATTTAGGCTTTGTTTTTTGTTCTTGTATTTTTATGCCTAAAAAGCCGATCAGCATCTCTCGCACGGCGCTGCAAAGAAAACCGATGAAAGATATAAGATAATTGGGATGTTTACCAAGTCCTCACCTCAGCTTTCCATGCAGTTTCCCCTCCTGCTGATTATCTGAATGGCAATGCAAGGCAACCGCTTCTGATTTCGACCCCAGAATGGAGTGCTCTGTAGATGCTGTCTTTCCCTGGGATTGTATTGCAGGCTGTTATAGTGTGGGGATGTGATGTGATGTGATTTGTATTCAGAGAAAGGCGCCGGTGTGGTCTACTCAGAATGGAATCCAGGTTTTTCATATTGGTATTGATCCCTTTAGGGCAGGCGGCAAGAGGAGAGAGAGAGACGAGCCCACTAAAATGAGTTTACTCGAGGCTGTTTGCAGATCAGAAGAATCTCGTCCAGGATGCTAATGGATGGGATCTGAGTGTTCGGATCAAGTCAGCCAGACAGCTCTGTTACTGTGCCCCATTCACAGACATCAAGTTCAAACAAACTTATTCTCCAAAGCATTTTTATTAATCAGTCAACTTAATGGAGAATTAGGGTGAAGCTTTGTTTCAGTATTCAAAATCAGACTATTGCATTGATTTAATTTTTTCACTAAGGGTAATTAGTGTAGAGCTACAACTAACAAATTGATTGATCTCTTCGTTATGTAAAAAAATAAATATTTTAATCCCTTGGTCTATAAAATGTCAGTAAACAAGAAAGGTTTTTTTTTTAGAGCCCAATGTGGCGTCTTCACATTGCTTGTTTTGTCCAATCCAGAAGATATTGAATTTATAATGCCATTTAAAAAAAAAAAAAAAAAATTACACATTTGAAAATCTGAAACCTGCAAATTATATTTTTGCTCGATAAACTACTTAAACAAGCTGCTCTCAAAAGTTTTTGTCACATCTCCCTTTTACTCATTTTACAAAATTGTGATGGGAAATCTTGAAACCTCCAGACACTCGCCAACGCTAAGAATACAGTTTTCAGTAGAGATACACCAATCGATCGGCTGTTGACTGGAATTGGCCATTTTCAGCTTAATCGGCCGTGACTTTTGACCGATGCTGACACATCAGCACAGACAGTGACGAATGTCTCAGCCACAGACACAAAGACGTGTGGTCAGCCTGGAAGGTCTTCATCGTGAGCGAAGAAGACACAACACTTGCCAGCCATGTTTTCCACACCGACTTTACTTTTACCCAGGTATTAATGGTCGCCACAGTAAGCTATATTTGGCGACCCATTTTAGCACTTTGCAGAGAGAGGGGGACTTTATCTGGGATTACATACATGCAACAGTGAGCACACCTTTTGGTGCCGATGTCATTTGGTGCCATGTTTGTTTTTATAGGGGACGTCATTAACAACAAGCTTCCTCAACACGCTGCTCACCTGCTGCTGTGAAAACAGATTGCGGGGATAAAAACCCAAACATGACTTATTTGGGCACCTTTTATAAAACATACTGCTGATGTAGAAAGTCAAGAGAGCAGAGATATACAGGGAGAGAGAAACACAGAGAGACATATGTAGGTGTGTGTATCTGAAAGGAAAAGCAAGGTCAACAGATTAAAGTAGTTTGTGAGTAAATACTAAAATAAGGTGGCGAATTAAGTAGAATTAAAGTATTGAGTTAAGGAATAACCTACTATAAATAGGGTAATGTCTTCTCTCAAATAATTTTAAAAAATATACCCCCACCACAGCGACACTGTCATTCTGTGGGAAACATTGCTCTGTTATCTGCAATTCATTTGGATTTTATTTGTACAAAAAAGCTCTGTTCAGTAGCTTAACCTGGAGACCCTTTTTATTTTGAGCTGAGTGAGAAGGTCCAGGAACCTGGTGCATTTTTGCAGAAAATCTGAAAGTTATTTAATAGTCACTGTTTTATTATGAACATACAATTGAATGGACCCCAAGTAGAATAGCAAATGCTCATGCTGGTGCTAAAAGGGATCCTTATTAAGAAAAAAAGAATGAATTCTCTGAGGACCCGTGTCCACCAAAGCGTTTTTTGCCAGCTGAAAACGCCACCTGCTGTTCTGAAAACGCCTAACTAGGAGCGCTAGGCTGCGTTTTGGAGGCGCAGTGTTTTTTTTCGAGGTGGTTGCTATGATACATAATTTCCGTGGAGGCGTTGTGTTGCAAGTTGGGTAGCCTACTTAATTTTAGTGAATTTAAAAATGTCACCACAAAGTATGTAGGGTTACTTGCTCTGGCACTTGCTCTGCATGAAGAGAAGGCTGAAACATGAGAGCAGAAACTGTCCTGTCCGTACGTGGGTTCATGAGATTTTGCGGGCGGGGAAACACCTCGGCGAGTAGGCACTTCGCTTCGTTCAAGATCGGATGTGCTCTGTACGGTGCTTGTCCCGCCCCTCCTGCACTGTGATTGGATGGCTGGGTAAAAAGTGACAGTGACGAGCGCAGCGTTTTTCCCAAAGTTGAACATTTCTCAACTGTCGGCGACCGGGAAGAAACGCCCAGCGCACAGCGCGGAAAAGACGCTCAGCGCCTCGTCACGCTCCTGGCGTTTTTACCAGCTAGTAAAAACGCGGCGCTCCCATTGGAATGAATTGAAAAAAGACACTGGTGTCAGAAAAAAAATACTTTGGTGGACACGGGCCCTTACAGGAAAGTTACAAAAATGTTTGTGCTGTCAATGATAGTTCTTAGAAAGAAAGAAAGAAAGAAAATCCGTATCTGCGAAGAAAATTGCCATTGATGCATCTGTAGTTTTAAGTGAAGTAGGAGCAGTTTTGTATCCAGCCTTTAAAAAACCTTTAAAATAAAAAAATCTTTGCAGATTCATATATTCTGGAAGATGGCGTGTATGTCATTTTAAGAATTTATCACCAGGTAATTAAGGATTTTTTTGTAAAAACGTTCTGAGACATAAATTATTACTCAAAGTAATAACAGTAATAATACAATATTATACTATTGCTTATGTACAACTCCAGCAAGCCTGAGTTGGCTGCCCTTTTTTTTAATTTTGTGACTTTTGGAAAACACAAAGCCTGATTCAGTTGGTTGGTGAAAATCAAAGGGTGGAGCTTAGGGGAAGCAGCACCTTATCCTCTGAGTGCAGCAGCACAGCACAAAGGCCCCAGTCTCAATGCCTCTCTGTGACATTCCTGAGCCCCTCGTCGTGGTTGGTCACCCCACCAATCAGACTGGGGTAACGGATAACCCCGGCCTCTTTAGAGAGACTGCTGACTGATGGCATCATGAAAGGTTGGGGGTCAACTGTTGTTATCTAGGAGAGAGCTGTCACCTTAGCAGCAGGTGTGCGGCACAGATACTGGCATCCTCAGAGCCGCTTTGTGCTGCTGCGTTGCCATTGCCTGCAAAGGATTCTGGGAGCTTTGCCAAACTCCCAAACCACAAGAGGAATCACTTTTGCGGGAGCAGTTAATTTTTTATTTTTTTACTCAAGCGCAGTTGAACACACACAAAAGCCCTAGTTTCATTTTCAGTAACTGTTTATAGTGATGGCATCTATCCTTCTGTTTGGGTGAAATTTAATAATATATGTAATGTCCTCGCTGCTCGTTTCCGTGCATTAGGCCATTGCATCTCTCAGTGTACTGTCATTGCAGACAGTGCTTAATGGTGTCACTACTCTTCTTTAACCTCTGGTGCGAGGAAGGACTCCCTCTCCTCCATCTGGTCTGGTCGTGTGTTAGTATTGATTGACCGCTAACATCCTTTGCTTGACTTTCAGAGAGAATGAGAGGCGGGAGAACCCTGAGGCCACATTTGGCGAGACCTGGCTGTTCTTCGGTTGTCGCCACAGAGACAGAGACTACCTGTTCAGGTAAGCTGTGCTTGTTATTTCAGATCTGTGGTTATTGACAGACCCCATACACATGTTCAATACATACTAGGGACGACTGTGACTCAGGAGGTAGGGCGGGTTGTCGATCCCCCTCCATGTCAAAGTGTCCTTGGACAAGATACAGAACCCCAAGTGTCTGGTGTGTGTGTGTGTGTGTGTGTGTGTGTTAATTTCTGTCTCTGATAAGCAGTTGGCACCTTAGCCCCTGCCATCAGTGTATAAATATGAGTGTGAATAGGTGTGTTGTGTAAAAGCACTTTGAGTGGTATGAAGACTAGAAAGGTGCATTTACCATTACTTTCTTTTCTTTAGCTCCAGCACTCAGCTCAAGGATGTAAAGTAAAATGTATGTGTTGCTGCCCTTCAAGCTATATTAACCAAGGACACGTGTTTTTCACATATGAGTGAAAAGGGGCAAGAGCACCAGCATATTGTGGTTTCGGCATGTAGTTGTGACTCAAGCAAGACGCTGCATACAGGTTATGTGAGTTTCACCCTTTTAGCTAAAGAGCAAATATGTTGAATATTGAAGCTTTGCTAAGAAATATTTCAAATATAAATGTTATCATTTTACTTTAAAGTTCTCTTCAGCACTGTGGAGCATTTTAGTATCTTTCAGCTCTTTGTTTTGGTTTTTACTGCTGGCAACTTTACTGCTGGGTTCACTCACTCATCGCTATCATCCGCCTCGTTTCTAGGCATAGAAGGCAGCTGTGAACATAGTGTAGCATTTAGCAGCTAAAGCGCAGAATAAATTTCCTCATGGGTCGGTGGAGACCAGAAATTTGACTCAAATGAATGCCAGTGCAGTGTTTCCCCTAGGATGGAGTTATAGCAGCGGAGGTGAAGCAGATTTTTTGTCTGAATATAAAACCCCAACACAACATGTCTCAGCAGTATTGCTTTGTGTCCATGAGCATGCGATGTACATCAGAATAGTTTAAAACTAGTGTTTTACCAGGTTAATGTGAGTTTTAGCTGAATGTTTTGGTGTTGGTGGTCATGGTCAGGGTGGTGGGGGGTTTGGGCCATTATTTTCCCCATATGTCTGAACAAAGAGTTGGAAAAGCAGGACAGATAATAAATAACCGACAGCAAAAGATCAGTCTACTGGGGAGGAACTACAAACTTTAGATTTGGGGAAAGTTATTTGGTTGGTTATGCTCTCCACAGTGATTTAACATTTATTGCACAGCATGTTTTGGACATCACCCCCTAAAACCCTGTTAATATGACCTCAGAATTGTTACGATTGTTAATGTTTGCCTTTTGCGTGCAACATGAGAAACCTTGTCCCTTCTGAGGTGCATTTTATTTGCACATTAAAATCCAAAAAGAAACGTCTCCTCATTAGCTTAAAAGGACGAGTTTGCATCACTAATTTGCTTTACTAAACTCACCACCGTCCTTTCTTTTCCTAACAACCACTTTTTCAGACTCATCTGAAAAATAATTCAACCAGTCTGTACAGGACAGAGCTGCAGGCTACACCAGTTTACTCTGAGATTGTAACTGATGTTCTCAACATTGGACAAGTAGGCAGTAATAAAATACAACTACCGGTTACTTTCTATTGAGCTAATGTTAAGTTACATAGCAGCCAAAAGACACAGCCTGCTGTTGAAACTTTCCTGCTCAGCTCTGTGTGAAGGGGAGGGGGGATGTTAGCTAACTTAGCGCTAACAGGCTTAATTTTTTCCAGCAGGTGGGGAAACAACAGACTTTTTTGGTCTTGAGAGGCCGACACACTGTAACCGACATATAGGGGAAACACTGCAGAGTTACTTCATGAGGCTGGATGAGTAAGACGAGCTACTGTTGGCTAACAAGTTTGCCATGTAAACTAAAAGGTGATAAAATGTTGTGTTCATAACTTGTTTCCACTGCTGTGAAAAAAAACCTGTGAATGCAGCATTTGAAAGCTAAACCTAAATAGATTTGATAAGGGAATTGAAAAGATTCAGATTTGACAAGCAGATTCAGTTCTAGGTGCAGATTAGATAAAATGCGACTGAACCATAACCCTACTGTTTATATTACCTTAAGAGTTTATGGTTTATTGCTCAGCACCAAGGGCATCGGATTAATTTCAAGCTGTGTGTGTGTGTGTGTGTGTGTGTGTGTGTGTGTGTGGTGATAGATAGATCGGAGACTTCAAATGAACAAGTACCAATTCAGGAAAAAACTTTCATATGAACAAGCCAGCTGAGCTACCTTTGTAATATGAAGGTCCACAAAAAGCAACGTGAAAAAACTGTTTACCTCAACCAACCTGCTACTCTGGTAATTGGCTTCAAATGTGGCTTACCGTTCACACACTTTCTCTAGGCTGTTCCTCAATATTAAATACTCCAACATTGCTCCAGTGTGAGTACAGTAGACGTTAGGTGGGGTGTGTCCTAACGCCAAGTTTAAAACCGTAACCAGCAACATAAAATGGCAAAACGTACAGGTTCCAAGTTTGAAGTCTGTATCGATCGATCCTTGAGCTTCAGTTTTGAAGCAAATCCTGGTCATTACTTGCCCTCATTGAGAAAGCAAAATGTGCCAAGAACAGAGGAAATGGATTGAAAGTGGTGAAAGTGGGGGTGCAAATGGCCCTTGGACCCACTACTTCCGGTGTCCATGCTCAACACTGACATGAGGTTGTATTGTAGACAGGAATTGAAGGGGGGCAGTGTTCTATGAATGTTAGACTACTTTTTATAGATTGACCTCTTGGTTTGTTAAAGCATTCTAACCTCACATCAACCTGTGAGTGAATCATTGCTCTGATCAGTTTGTTTTGGCTTTACTCTCTTCTGACTACACACTAATTGATCGGCTCTTGCTGAGTATCAGCAGCATGTGTGCACTCGATGCTGGTGCACTGATCGAGTTCTTTCACAGGATTAAATAGTGTGAATGGATTAGCATCCTTAATGACACAAGAATAGATCACAGAGGATGTTGTTTGTTCCCCTTTTTCCCCCTATATCCCTTAGTTAAATACCAGCTCACAGCCAGGTAGTGGGCAGTGTTTGTTCACAGTGTGGGCTTCTCTGATGAACACCCTCACAGTGTTGACCAAAGTGATTACTCTGTGTTTTATGAGCCACCCATGAAGCGTTGTACTTAATTTAAATAGGTTAGCAGAATGAGAACAACATACTTGCAGTTGCATTACCTGCCTGCATTCATCTCAGTTGGATTTCTCTCAATTTGATGTCTACCGTTGCCTTGAAACGCAGGAACCTGCTTAGTATAGTTTGAAATGGGTTTTTTTTATGTCTCATATTTTTTAAGAAAAGCTTACCCAAAGTCGGGCAAGTAGGGGTTGAAATATTACAAAATGTCGAGACAGGATGTGCCCAGCTCTCCGATGGTGTTCAGAATTTTCCACCAGCAAAATAAAACAAACAAGGCTTGCGATGCACCTCAATCAGCCGCGGCACTTAACATCCCTGTGAGAGGTTGATGCCAATCTGCCTGCCTGTCACATCAAGCCTGTCCTCCCCTCTGCTGCACTTATCCTTTCCCCTCCCTCTGATTCCTCTGCCTCCTTTATGGCAAGTGATTTCATGCTGTAGAGGAAACATAACGGGAAGGCCTGCTGGGTTCATTTTAGGGTCCAGGATATTGCCACAGGCTGTTATGTGTATAAACACACAGAGGAGTCTGGCAGAATTTGGCTCTCAGAAACCCTCGGCTCAGCGCCAGTGAGATGTTTTCCCGTTGTCCGTCCCATTTTCATGAATGCGATATCTCAGGAACACCTAGAAGGAATTTCTTTAAATGTGGCACAAACGTCCACTTGGACACAAGGATGAACTGATTAGAATTTGGTGGGCAAAGGGCAAAGGTCACTGTGACCTTCAAGGATTGATGACCATGATGACGACACAGTTGCCCTTCAGTGTTCTGTTTTATTTGTTCTTAGGAAATGTTCTGGGGGTCATATGTCTTCTGAGGCGGTTGAAGCCATTGATTAATATCTTAAGAGAGTGTTTGATGTGAAAGGATAAACTGTCAGTATGAAAAGCCTGTTAATTACTTAGCTTTGACAGGCCAGCACTTTCTACATTTATTGTCATTCAGTTTGGTTCAGATCACTGTGACCTCAAAAGAACCTTGACAAGCATGTTTTTGGCCGTAACTCAAGAATTGATGTGGTAATTATGACAAAATTTCACACAGATCTTTAATTGGATGCAACGATGAAGTGACGGCATTTTTTACCTAAAATGTCAAAGGTCTACTTCACTGTGACGTCATAATGTCCGGGAAAAACATTGGCCATTATTCATCACCGTAACTCAGCAACAGAAGGGGAAAATGTGACAGATTTGCCAGTTAGTTGGACACTGAATAGAGAGGCACTTTGGACTCAAAGGTCATTGTGACCTTAAAATTTTAAGAATTAATTGGACGATTCCAGATTTCACACACATGTTGACTGAGTTAACAATAACTAGCACCGCATTTTGTGTAACTATACTTTATAAGAATCCATCTTTACATCGTAATCAAGTACATGTGTACCTGTTTAGCCAACACATCTATGAAAATCCTTCGTTAATCACTTCAACAATATATTTACTGGAACCATACCTACATATCATCAATATAGTGATTCAGCCAAAAAATACACTTTATACCTTTTTATTCAACTCTTTCCAAGTATTCACTACATATGAGTCTGGACAGATGTGGAAGTAAACTGCAACTTGACTGGTTAGTCTATGATGATTCATATTCGGACGTCAAAAACAAACTAGACTCCGCCATGCTTCTCCTTGTTATTCATGTTGTTGCTCTCATGTTCAAACAGACTTTGTAATCACATGTCTCGGTCATAACAACAAGATTTCTTTTAGCGACTCTTTCTCTAATCAAAGGTAAATATTGCAGGAGAGGCAACAGCTCTGGATGTTTCACATAGAACAAAGACAACATAATGCATCTCTTCCTTTAGCATTCACACCGCATTGTCTGTGTGTTATTGGAAAATGTCTTATTTTAGTCGAGGGGTTACTGCAAAACAGACCCCTGAAGCGAAGACCTTCACCCATGAACTCAGAGCCGTGACTTGTTATCAGTGTGTGTGTTGCGCTGTGGTGTCGGTGTGTGTTTCTGCTCATTCCGGCTGCTTAACTTTAGAGAAGACGCCGCTCTGAGCCACAGTAAACCCTTACTCCCTCCCCACCTTCCTCTTTCCTTCCCTTCCAATAGCACCCCAGGCCCTGTGAAAAACACTGAAGCAGAAGGAGTAGTTGCCAACCGAACCACAGATAGGGAGCAAGGTTACACCCAACTGCAAGGCTGGGAGGATTGATTGTAAGAAGATGCTTATAACAGTGACTCAGCCTTGCTTATGAAATCCATATTTTCTTTGCACTTTTCTCGTTAAACAAAATAAATTGTTTGTCTGGCTCAGTTTTGCTCAGACCTTTTGGCCATCAGTGTTCTGTTTTACCTAACCTGATGTTGTTTTTTTGTTGTTGTTCTTAGGAAATGTTCTGGGGGTCATGTGTCTTCTGAGGCGGTTGAAGCTATTGCTAAATATCTTAAGAGAGCACTGGATGTGAAAGGATAAACAGTATGAAAAACCTGGTTAATTACTTGGCATTAACAGGCCAGCAGTTTCTACATTTTCTTCATTCAGTTACAATAAAAATATGCATGTTCTTTCTCTCTCCATAAAATTGTGGACAGGTGGTCAAGGTTGGTCAACATTCACTGCCACATGATCTTTTCTCCACATCAGAAACTGAATCTTTGGCTCCTGAGCTTTACAAAGAGTTATGACAATTTTGGTTTTGTAAATGCGGAACAACCTGCCCAAGATTACAGGAATAACCTTGAAGGAAATTGGATTTAAAACATCCTGACATGTTTGGATGTGTCTTCTTCCAGAGAGGAGCTGGAGAGCTTTGTGTCCAACGGTACCCTGAGCCACCTCAAGGTGTGTTTCTCCAGAGACGAGGAGGAGGAAGAGGTGACCAAGACCTCAGCAGCACGACCCAGATACGTCCAACACAACCTGCTTCTCAACAGCCAGCACATAACTGACATCCTGCTCAAACAGAACGGCTATCTCTATGTGTGCGGGTAAGAAATCTCATCCCTCTTATAATTTGAACCATAATTCATCCTGACTGATATATTCTATTTTTTAATCTGCTTTACATTTATCCCAGTGTGCACTTGGTATGGTTGAGTCATGTTCTGGCACTAATGTGTGAAAGGACTGCGAAACATCTCACTCGCAGCTCTTTTCTGCACTCTAGCTCTCTCTGTCAGGGAGTCTGTACGGCTTACAGAACCATTACGATCTGTTACATTACTAGTCACAATAATGTACATATTATTAATAATATTGGCAATAAACCTATTTGACATGAGAGTATAATCTCTGTTTAAGCTAATATTGTTCTGACTATCAAAACAAATAACTGATAAGTATTTTACAGGGATTCTCTCTGAGGGTAAATTGTTGCTTATAAGAAAGAGAAAAACCTACATATCTTGCTAAAGAACTGCTTGAAGACATGCCGAGCTGCATCCAGTGCCAGGTGCAATGACTATGTGACTTGCTTAAAGGCGAGTTATCACATATTTTGAATTTGGGCGTAATGACAAGGAACTTTCTGCGCCCAATATCTCTTCTCTTACTCCTTTGTTACTGCTGACCTCACACTGTTGCAACATCCTGTACAGTTGGTAGCATTTATGGTGTGTATGTACCCCTTTTCCCCTCCTTTCACATTTTTTCTGTCAGTACAAAGACGACGAGACCAAGCAAACATATAAGTCAACATTTGCATTGCTCAGTATCACCTTTCTCTCTCTATCATCACTGCCAGGCCTCTTACCTCACCTTTGAGTAAATGATCTTTAAAACATCAGAACTGTTTGAATTCCTCACACTCTAAGAAGATCACTTTAGAGCCACGGGATGTTGAATCTGCCCCAAAATGCTTCAACAGCAAAATGGAGATTTCAGCAATTTCCTTCCAGGACACTGCTGGACTGTGGCAGCACCTCTTGGTTTTACAAAATATGGCCTTGTCTCAAAAACATGCCTGTTGATTGCATTGCCCTTTTTTCATGCTCTTTTCCTCACCAGAGAAGCTAAGAACATGGCTAAAGACGTGAACGACACCCTGGTGGAGATGATCAAAACAGAGCTTCAGGTAGACCAACTGGATGCCATGAAGAGACTGGCGGGGCTGAGAGAGGAGAAACGCTACTTACAGGACATCTGGGGCTGACGGCGGATGGCGAGATAAGGGCATTTTGCTGCATTCACTGGACTTTTTATTTTTTCTATTTTTTTCCCCAGCTTAACCTTACAAACAAGAAAGAAAGAAAAATTCAGCCTGCTCAGCTATAACCTCTAGAACCTTAAAACTGTGGGATGCTGAAGCCTAGATTTGCTTTACACCACCCAATGCTGCCTAGATAGAATGTACCATACAGACCCAGGGATATCGGTTCACTACATCATCTTGGGCTTTGCTGTTTGAACAAAAACGACCTTGGTCAGGTCAATAGTGCCGGAGATTGGTCCTGGTGTGTGAAAATGCTTTTAGAGCAGACAAGCCTCCTCCATTCGTCCTGTGTGGTGGAAAAGTCATTTACTTCTGATGGAGTGATTTTGATGGGACTCAGAGTGGAAGATCACTCCAACCCAGATGGAAACAACACAGCAATCTGTAGTTCTTCAACAGCACACACACAGTAAATTGTTTATTGTCATTCAGGAGGAAATAAACAATTTTTGAGTTATTTTTGTGTTTGGAATATTCCAAACTACCTGAATGCACCACAGTTTCTACCTCTGAAGTCATGACCCACGTATCATGTAGTATTGTCACATTTGCATCCAAAACACTGGTACGTTTTATCCTATTTTGCTTATAACGAAGACAGATTCTAATCTATGTGATCCTAAAAAATTTTTTTATGTGAAGTCCTTGGAGATGAGGAAAGCTTTCAGTGATTTATCATTAGACTGTGTTAAATGAGTACAGAGGGTGTGAATCTCCTTATAATGCACAGCTGAAAAAGTATCTAACCAACTTTGTTTTGTCTGCCCCAGCTGCCAGAGACTGTGACTTTTCAAATTCCTCCAAGCCCGACTAAAATCTCCCAAATTGTGGTTAGAACAAACACAACTGTGCCTTGTGTGATCAGGAATTAAAAGACATTTCAGCTGTAAACTCCTGTGGTCTACTGCTTTTCTTTTAGTGTGCACACAAGTGTGTTTGTAGATGACCTTGCACACACATGCATTTGAAGCGCGTGAGTGAGAATGAGGGGTAAGTTTTCTTGACATATTCAAGAGGCAATGGATTTCATTTGGGAACTAATCAACTCTGACTGACGGGGAGTGATTGTTTTATTTAAATTTAAAGATAATTTGATTGTTAAAGGTGACCTTGGTGAGGAGATGAAGGCGTATTCTGCTAATTGAAGACTTTTTGCGATGGGCTTCCAGAGCCCCAGAGAGAGCTTCTCAGAATTAAATCTTCTAACGGCAGCCTTTTTATTTGTCCTCTTGTAGGGAGGGGAGAGAAAAACATGTTTACAATCTCTGCCGCCTGTGCCGTAGATGACACCCTCATTCGCTACATTTTTGAGCCGAGTAAACAAAACATTCACTGTCGCCGAAAACAATCCCTGATGGTGAATAATTGGTTTAATACAGTGTAGTGGAAGGTAAAGCCGTCCTCGTGTTTGTCCAGGCGGAGCCGGGTGCATCTCCTCGCCCTCATCACTCAGTGTCCTGCTGCTTCGCCGAGTCAACAGGAGCAGAGGAGGACAAAATCAAAATAATGATGCTGTGTGTGCCTAACAGCACCACCGATCATCTCACACACGATGGTAAATTTAATGCAAGACTCCACTTTGGTGATGGAGAAATGACAACAACTTGCATGTATGCTCTAACAAGAAGAAATGTTTCAGCAGAGTGGAGTGAGCATTATCAGTTAACAATTTTAGAACCGTGACATATACTTTGAGCTGTACTTCCCTTATTTACCTACCCTATTAACATGCCCTCATCTCCATTGGAAAAATGACTTCAGCCATAAGATGGAGAGCCTGCCGGATGCTTAGGTCACCCTGTCCAGCGACGACCTAGGACTGATCTGATGTTTTAAATTATGTCTTCATAATTAAAAAGGTTCACAGTGGCGGTTTTGTTCCGCAGCAAAGCGAAAGAAAGGGCCGAGGAGATTGTCAGGAATAAATCAGAGCGCTGCAGGTCAGTGCGACCGCAGAATAGTAGCACCTCCGTGATAGATACCCCTTGTTAAGAATGGCTTAAATGAAGCAGAAAGATGTGTGCTGAAGATAATGACTGTTATTATGGACGTGTTGAGTGAGCCAAGTGGGGAGATGCGCTTTATGTCAACGAGCGCAGAGATTTTTTAGGAAGACCTGCTTAACATTCGGCTTCTTGGTGCAGAAAGTACAAGCAGGGATGATGAAACGCTCCCTCCCTCAGCTCTGCGAGGAACTGCGCCTTAATTAGGCGAGTGACAATATCTCCGATTCAGTTGGCTTTGGTCTGCAGATATGACTGCAACGTAGTGGTCGTTAAGGAGTAAACAACACAAGTAGAAGTGTTTGTCCCTTATGACAAAGCTTTGGGCCATTCAGCTTTGCAAACATGTATGTAACTATGTGTGTGCATGTTGCAAAAGGCAGGGAAGGTAATAGGAGGTGCATAGTTTTTTCAGTTCAACTCAAAAATGGATGTTTCCATTTGATCAATTTCCATTAAATCTAAGCCAGCCTTACTGGATCACCATTGAAAGATGACAACATAATTTGTCCATCTTTTGCCCTGTTGTGGGTTCCCAACATTGCAGCTTCTCTAAAAAGCATTCCCTTTGAAAGCTGTACTACTGTGGAGAAAGTCTTGTCGCATTAGTGCGGACAGCTTCATCTTCTCCAAGTTCTTCTCTCACATGCATTATGTCATTAAAAAGGACACTTCCACTCTGTCTCTGTTGTTCCCAGTCTGCAGTCACTGACTCAGGAATGTCAACTCAGCTCTTTGATGTGGCATGGATGACAAGCCTCACACACACACACACACACACACACACACACACACAGATACACACTGAGCGACACAGTCAGCCTGCTCTCCGGAGTCCCAGCTGTGCACAAACACTTTAACTTCAGCATCTGTCAGGAGTGCTGGAGGAAAATCTATGTTTCTCTAAAAAGGCTGCAGCGCTTCTATTGAGTTTCCTGTTTTCACGGCAAGATACCACCGTTGTTCTGGTCTCTGTTTATTGATGGAGCGGGAGAGATACCCCTGCTTCCAATTCGGGAGAACAAACATTTGCTGTAATTGATGCTGGCAGGAGGAGAAAGTATTCAATAAGAAAGCATTGCTCTCCGGGGGGGCTTTAAAGAAATATTTCTGTTAGATTCAACTGGCCACGGAAACAATACTGTAAAAAATTTCAGAATAACTTGAAACAAAATCACATGTTACCTGTTAAGACAGATTCCCCGCACCAGTCAGGTACTGTCTGTCCACGTGAATTAAAAAATATAATGTAGAAACTGCTTAGCTCATCAAATGTATAAATTATGTTTCAGCGACGGATGTACTTTCTGTCTCCATTAGTCAAAGAAATATAAAAAAAATTGCTTGGGTATTTTCAAACCTACAAACGATGGATGAACACTTAGCAGAATTTATAGCCTCCTCACTCCTCGCAGCCATAATGACTTATGCAAATTGTAGGTTAAGTGCTGAGATGAGACTGTTCAGCAAAGAGAAAAGGGGATGCACATAAGACCAAGATGGAAGGATAAACTGTGCATTTGACATTTGCTTTTTTTATGTGTTGTGTGGGATATGCTAAATGCGTGTTGCCATGGAGCTCAATCAATACATACAACTCTGGAGATATCTCTATATAAAGATGCACATGAAGAGGTCTTGTGAAAATAAAACAGATTCTCCACATGCTTTGTCATAGTGCAACTGAACAATAACTGTGGAGATACATATTTTGCACAAAGAGACATTAAAATAACAAAATATCCAAATTAAGTTCTAAGAAACTAGTATAATTACACCACGAGTGCAAAAAATTGCCGTTTCGGTCATTTTTTATTAAATCTGACAGGCCTTCTAGTCTTTTTCGAGGCATCTGAAAGGTAATGAAAATGTTTTCAGCCAAAGTCTTTTCATCATCCTCTTGATAAAAACTCCACTGTGGCACCAGTGACTGTCCTAATCTTACCCGGTGCCTGATAAGCAGCCGTGAGCGTCTGGTGAGTGGGGCTCATCAGTGGCAGATTAATGTCCAGCTGTACACCCCGCACCACGCTGTGAAAGGGATGAACAACGGGAGGCAGAAAGTAGAATGACATTGTAAAGAGGGAAAAATTAACTGTTAGGACAGGGAAATTGGGTAAAATATATAGGAGCATTGAGAGAGGCATATGAAAACGATTTTCCTCTGAGGAGAGAGAGATGAGCAGATAAGGGTGGTGAGAATAAAATGGTGAATGACAACAGGTACAGCTAAGAGTGCAACAGGAAAATGTAAGAGGTCTCTGACTCTGAATTTATTACTGTGCTTTCAGTGCAGTGGGAGGTGAACCAGGGTGAGTTACAACATCACCTGACCCTTTTTCAGATTTGACTCCTGCAGAGATGGCCTCAGAGTCACCCCACAACACACACACACACACACACACACACACTGGACATTAATAAAAAGGGTTCAAAAGAGGAATGTAAAAAGTTTATACCTTCATCAAACACCAAACGTGGAAAAGAGGTGATATATAGTCCCTGAGGCAAAAGAATGCATTAAGGATGTATTTAAAAATGAGCAACTGTTTGTGTGATTAATCATCTTCCCACAATGTGACAGCCCATGTGCATGTAATGGGACATCTGGGATTTCGCTCAGTAATTACTGTTTTATTGAAAAATCTATATGTACGAAGAGCAATTACATAGGTTACAGCATAAACTGTTTGTCCTGCAGTATATCAGTGTTCAAGGCAAATCCTGTATCAACAGAGGAATAATGTTTTCTGTCCATTTGAGAGATTGGGCATTAAATGAATATGATACACAGAGATATACACATGTATTAAAAGTGGAGATTAAAAACTGCATAACCACTGGGAAAACTAACTATTGTACTATTAAAGTACCATTAAAAAAACAGACTTTGAGTCCACCTGAAAAATAAAGTTTTAAACTACTTGGCTACAGTTTGTTAGTTTGAGAGTCCGGTTAAATGAATATACAGTCTACACTGAAGTCTGGCAACCTCACAGTGACAAGAGGACTTCAAGAAGTTACTGCTGCTGGCCAAGAAATAGTCTGGCACTTAAACTACAACTTGCAGTTTTTACACTTCTGTTTTTGTTCTGATTAAATAAAAAGTATATCGTGTGTTCATTTGTGAGCTTTAGAGGTGCTGGGAGTCAGAACTGTTTCTCCCTGCTTTTAGTCTTTATGCTAAGCTAACAGTCTCTAGGCTGTGTCTTCATTTACAAAGTGTGAGGTTTCTTTTTCAACACTGAGCAGATATAAGCCGGACAAATTTAAGTCAAATATTTACTCCTTTTTAGGTGTTGCGGTCTCCACCAACTCAAGACTTGATCTTTAGCTGCTTAGTAACTCCACTGTGTTTGCCAGCCAGCTAGCGAGGCGCTAACTTTGTGTCGTTTGATTCTGCGCAGGTGTCGACCATTGGGTTTATGAAAACTTTTTGGGTGAAAACAGCTGCCGTCTATTACAAGATACAAGACTGAAGAGGGGAACCAAAACACTAAAGTTGCACCATAAAACCAAACAGTGAGCTGAAAGAGGCTAACGCCAACCATAGAGCTGAGGGGAACTTCTGAGTTGGGTTTATAATCCACGGTGGATTCATCACCGCGAGCCACTCCTATCACATTATACGCTGTCATTTCATACATTAACATAAAAAAACTGATTAGTGCATTATCTAAACCCAACCAACTTTATAAATACATAAACACAAAAGCATACAGTGCCCGTAAGACATTTTAAGTTAGTTTAACTTGGAAAAGGAATGTTCACCTGCTGCTTTAAAATGCAAGTTAACTCAAGTTAAAATTGCCTTTGTTTCAACTCACAAATTCAAGTTCTAGTTGTCTCAATGTTGTTTTTAGTTAATTTGACTTTTTATAACTTGTTTCAACTTCATTCTTTGAGTTAAAACATAATTATTTTACTTTATCAGTGCAAGGAAACACAACAAAAAGAGAAAACTATTTGACTATCCTATTACAAAATGCATTACATCAAATGATCAAACTACGGCACACACACACACACACACTCACTTAAGGACCTATTTTTTTCCTAGAGAACCATTATACTGGAGTTTGATCCAGATCCAGTGATTAAAAAGAGCTTAAACAAGGCAGTTTTCTTTTGGAGCCGGGATGGTGCTACAATACACCGCCCCGGCTGTTGCTAAGTAACTGGTACAGCAACTGATGTTTTCATCATTGCACTGATATAAGAGAGAACTATATTATTTGCAGTCAAAAATCCTAGTTTTAAAGGAGTGGCAAAAACGCAGCACATTAGTATGATGTAATTTTGATGACAGTAATGATCAGGAAGGACACTCCTCTAACAGTAGCACTTTAATGAAGAGTTACACTTGTAGCTCTGGAGGATGGTTTTTATCAAAGGGTATAAATAAACAGGAGATAAACTATGGGACAGCCTCACATTGGGAAACACCAACAGAGGTCCTGCTCATATAGCTGCTGTGAAAATCTGCTGATGTTATCTTTCACAAAAACATACAAAATATTTTTCTATACTGTTCTATATTTTACTTGATGCATGCAAATAGTAGTATGAGTAGTTGAGAGTATGTTAACCTGACAAAATATTTTCTCATTGTAGTTTTAACTGAGTCTCAAATTGGACAGCTGTGTTATATATATTGTCAAAAGCAGTGTGAGAGAAAAGAAAGAAGTCCTGATAAATTTATTCCCTGCGATTCTAGCGCCTCATTGCTATTGAGGATTAAGCTACTGTATAAATAAACAGTAAGTAAAAGTAAAACTTTGAAAATAATAGGCTGTTTAACAAAACTTGCCCTTAATACTTAAAAACTTTGCCTTACTACTGAAACAAAAACTCCTGTGACATGTCAAAATGTCTTCTTTGAAAAAGGCCTACAAAGTAATAAAAAATAATAGCACTGTTTTGATAGAGGACTACTTTTAATCCATTTTCAGCCAAAGCGCTATTCAGAATAATCAAAAGAACTTCTATTAACATTATATTTGTGACTAACAGAAGAAAGGTTCATGTTTATTTAGCCTAATTTAGGCTCATGGTTGTGTATTAAGTTTTTTTTTTCATTTGGGAAATTATGTTATCTGTAATTGTAGGCAGGCCACAGATTGATGTCTTTGATCTGCAGCAGCATGTAATTACTGTCTCTTGTCTGCGCTAAAATTGTGCCTGTTTTTATTATTTTCACAAAAGAATGTTTTAATATGTGATTAATTTGTGGGATTTTCAACACAGAAACCAACAACAATATAATACAATACATAGACCATTGCATGTATGGCTGAAAAACAAAATAAAAGAAAACATTCTGTAAGAATGAGGTAAACATTGGCAGAGGCAGGACTTGTACCAAGACAAGAGGATAATATCAACAATGCAACCACAGGGGAAAAAAATGTCTATTGAGAGTTGTACATTGCTACAAACTCTCTAGTGAACGAAGCTCTCTTTCGCCACAAATTCCTTGATGAAAAACTCTTTCAATGTTATGGTATTTTCTAGCTATCTTATCCTCAGCAGCAACCACCATTGCTTCTGCTGGGCCAATATCCAATGGGAAGCCTTGCATGAGCAAAATCCTGCGCAACTATTTGGACTAGTCATAATGCCGTTTGAGATAACTGCAACTATTATTTGGAATAGTCAGAATATTACAGATATCTAGAATTGTCATTCAGGACGGGTGACGAGTTGAGTGTTGTTTTCAGTGTCATCACTGCTGATATCTGTATTCAATATTGACTGGTCAAAACTGAATTACAGATATCTCTGTCATTTTGACAAGTCAGAATGACGTTAAAGATATCTTAAATCAAAATTCTGACTAGTCGAACTTGGCTAATAAATGTTAAGACGGCTTGCCATATGGGTGAGATTAGCTGGTCCTAGGTGACATTTATCACCATTTGGATGAATGCCAGGATAGCAATCTAGCCTCGCATATACAGTCACACGTGGATTTGTAAGTATCTAAAGAAGTGGGTCCTCTGTAAACTGAATACACGAGTTAACTGATCAAAAGATGCAAATATTCCATCAAAGGATGTTTCACAAAACTATACAAACATAAATTCCTTTTATGGCTTTTATGATCTTAGAGTGTTACGCTTTGGTCAAAGACATAAAATGAATTTGTAACCAGCACAAGCCTTGAGTTGCAACATAATAATCTCAATTATCTCATCCATATCAACTTGTCCAGATGACCGGCTGTGTTATTAAAAGTTCTGCACTCAGGTGATTACAATTATTCTGGCTAATTGGCTAATCAGGTGGAGCTTTTCTGATAATTAACGGGTTTTTTTTGCAGCAGACATTTTGACATTTCATAACAGGAAAACACAATTAATAACATTAATGATGGCTCCATTTCATTTAGGTATACCAGCATAGAGGCTCTGGCTCACTGTCATGGCTTTCTGGGACAAATCAATAGAACAGAGCCATTATTAATGTTATTAGTTACAGCCTGCTATGGCAAGTCAAAATGTCTGCCGTGAAAAAGGTTTATTCCTTGTATACTAATTAGAATAATAAAAGTGTAAGCTGTCCTACCATAGCACTTGCAATAGAACACTGGATTTTTATTTCCAGCGTAGTAAGTGATATATTTGGGTCATACTTGAATGCAAGCTGCAATATCCAGGCCATCAGGATGATTGATTTCTAGTCAGTACCGATTTCTCTGTCAACATGCCCAGAAGCGAACAATTTTAAGGAGCAGTCATGACTCCACGCAAATATATCACTTCTGGTGAGGCTTCGCTCTCAGTCCACTTGCTCATGTCAGGTTCCTGTACTGTGTTTTAACTTCAGCAATAAACTATCACACCACTTTATTACAATACTTACTTCTTCTGTCCAGTGCAGTGGTTTTAAATCCTGTTTCCCTTTCCCACGATACTACTGATTTTCTCTCCCACAAGGTAGTTAATTACAGTTAATTGTGATCACCCGTGTCTTCTGGGGGTAAATCAGTCCCTGATTGGATAGCTGGAATAAAAACCAGCGGGCTCTGGGCCCCGAGGACCACGATCCAAGGGAACTGCTCCAGTCACACTCCTGTTTCTCTTCACTGTACAGGATGTCATCAACACTAATAAATTGAGTGGGTTGGCCTCCCTACCATTTTTTAGAAAAAGCAATCACAATAATGAAAAGTCATCTGCTGTATGAGTCTGTAATACATTTCCCTCGAGAGCTGAAGCACATGCATATGTATGCATGTTTACATGCCACACACACAAGTACACCTCGAGGCAACTGCTGAAGCCTAAATGTAGCTGTTTATCTGCAGACTGGCAGTGGTTCTGTGATAAATCACTGCCTCTGACAGATATGTCGGGGTTTTATGCAAGCTCATGAACCTCACCCCAAGAAAAGGAAGGGACTGAGTGAGACATTTGAGTGCTGACAATATTTTCAGTGAACCTCAGAGGAGGCTGGGGTAGCCAGGGTGGAGTCAGAAATTTGAAACAGACTCCAGTCTGAAAGAGAACTGTGATTTGAAAGGGTATAGTCTGGGGTTAGATAACAAATATATAACAACTATTTACAGACGTGAGCTGGAAAGTGTTAGAAATAAGAAGTATTTGCTGCTGAGAGCTCTGGTTTAAGACAAGATAAAATGCAGGTTAAATTGATGAGACTGTTGCAGTACCGTGCAAATATTTGCATAATAATTCTGGAGATGAATAAAACAAACCACCTTGTAGCAGGCATCATATAAAAATGCAAAGCACTGCACTTCAAAGCAATACAAGAGAAAGCAGCCTGATATGGCGTATGATAAACACTCCAATGTCTTAAGTCATTTTGTTGTTTGTTATTGCAACTCATTTTTTGCTTTTCACGTGTCATTTCACACCATTTAGTCTGTACTGACTACTGTGCAGAGATGGTTCATAGAGAAAAAAATGTCAAGTTAGGTAGTATAAAGAACGACAAAGTCCACATAGGGAGGTGGTCGTGGTGGATGGGTGATTGGATAGATGGGTCAAACAAACAGTGTTATGTGTCCCGTTTAAAACCAAAAGTCTTATTTTTACTTACGTACTTAAGTTAACTTATTTAACATATTTAAAGGGGCTGTATGTAGTTTTTAAATGAAATTAATTACTTTTTATTACCTATTCGTAAATGGGTTGCAACCTCCCATAAAAACGAGCCATTTGCCTGCTTTCTTGGTTACTTGCTGAATGCTCGCTCATTAGTTCGAGCATGTGCAAAAGCAAATGCTTGGAAAGGTAGAGGTTGCAATCTGAAACCTCACCACTACACCACACCACTACACCACTACTACTGAACACTACACATGGCCCCTATGCCAAATACATACCATAACTGAACTTACGAACATAACTTACCATACTTATTTTAACCAAAACCATGATCTTTTCTTAAACCTAAACAAGTCATTTTGGTGCCTTAACCTTACCAAACTTGTTACTACACCTCCTCCCTCTAAAGTAGAGATAATAACATGACACACCTGACCGTGACACAGACACCTGTGAGACACTTTGCTCTGTTTGACTGTCTCTCTGCTCCAGGATGTTTTCTTCTGAAGCGGCTGTGAGCTGCACTTTATCAGAGGTGCACTGAGATTTCTGTGTTTTCAGTTTCAGTTTTCTTCCTCTGATGAAGAGCAGTACAGTCCCAGACGAGGTCTGTCAGACGGTCTGAAGCGGATAACCATATCAGCATAGCAATAACGCAGGGTAATGCACAGCAGAGAGGCAGGCAGATTTTGTTTAAATATTATGACTTCGTTCTCTTTAGATTGCAAGTTTTTCTCATAATATTATGGCTTTTGTCTCAAAACATTATTCTGCAAATGTCAGAGAACACACATATTTGGGAGAAATTGTTAATGTGCAAAAAGTTTTAAACATGAGCAGAAAAGCTGCTGAAACACAGGAGCTAGCGATATATAATGCCTGAGAGCCTTACTGCATTATATTACACTATATTTTTCTTGTCACCAGGATCACCTCAATGGTTTGTTTCCTTTTGTTTAAATAAAGACATTGTACAGAAAGTGTAGAAAAATTCATCAGAATGCAGGAAATTAAGTGTTTTAAACCCAATTTTTCCAGGGGGAGGACCACCAGACCCCCCACCAAATTAATATTTTCAGTGTTAATTGACAACAGGTGGAAACATGAAAAATTTCTGGGCTGGACTAAGCCCCACTGTTTCTAGAGCCTGGGAACGCCCCTGCTAACTTTGTTTCAGTTTTATCCTCACAGTTTCTTGCCCTCCTTGATGCTTACAGGAGCGCCCTTCAGGTTGGTTCTGTTTCAGTGGGACTATATAATGCAGTTGTTCTTGGAAGGTATCTTGAAAAGCAAACTTTGAGGAGAGAGAGGAACATGGGCTTTACTGCCAGCAGTGGAGAAGAAAAGTCGTGTTTGAAAAAACTTGTCACAGTCATACTCAAGCCTTGCTGACTTCTCGAGTGCTACACACATGTCCTGGTTCTTTTATGGCTGTACTTTACGCAAAGCTACATAAAGTACACGGTCCATGATCCTTGTAGCACATGCAGCCCAGGTGTTTACCATCTTTACCTTGGCTTACCCACCGTATGTTACTTGCAGCTTGTGAAAGAGTCCAGGCACTCATCAATCACATATTTTAGATAAGGCAGTTGCTCTGCCCACTTGTTCATCTCTTAAATGTGTTTCAAAGCGTGCAGCATTTGGATCAAGACTGTTTGTCAAAGCAAACAACTCTTGAAAACACATGTAAAAGTCTGGCACTGCAGCGAGGAAAATTGCTCCACCTGCCTCTGCATGCCATGAGCCAGCTGCACATCGCATTTCTTGATTTGACTCACATACACCAGGAGGTTTGATCAGTCTTCTGCTTTCCCACTGCTAACAAACAACCCATCTCTCATCCATGTTTGTCACATCAGTTTTCTTTTTAACTCCAGCACTCCAAGAGCAGAGCACTATACTGCTGGTGCTATCTAAATACAACCTTTTCAAAATAGCATAATTTTTGATAAACATGTATTTGGCATCCGATAGTGAACGTTGCAAGCACTTTGAAAGCTGACACACTGCCATGCACTGATGACTGATGAGGAATTTAACTTGAGATGATGTGAGATCTACTACCAGAGGAAGCATGCGCTCTCGGTAGCTTTACTTTACTTACAATTTAACAAGATAAGTGAACCAGTCAAGCATCAGGAAGGAGAAGCTTAGTAGAATACTACTGCTCGGTGTGTTAGTCACCTTGGGCTCAGACCTGGCCTGAACAGATTTACCTAATCTAACCCTGTGTGAGTTGGACCTGTTGTACCATGAAGCATACAGAGCAGCAGAGGCAGTTAATTATGTATTCTTCTGAATGGTGAAGAATATGAGATGGAAGGGCAGATATGCACACAGTGATATTCCAAATAATATGCCACTCAAATACCTGAAACTTGGACCACAACAGCGACCTATTTAACAGTCTAGTTTTAAATTGTGCTTGACCTCGGTCACTGGGGGAAAAGAGGGCAACAAACAGCTGAAGCCATAAATATTCTTTCGCTTCCAAACTGACAAAAATGAGTGCAAATTGGACTATGAGTTTTAATGAAGAATCAAAGATTCAGCACCCACAGAAGAGTGGAATGAAAAAATAATAATAATAAGGGTTTCATGTTTGCACTCAGGTCTAATGATCATTTGTGCCCTGCTGCATAATGTGGAATAATATTTTGGCAATATTCCAGTGTATGCTCAGTATTTTATCTGCACCATAAGAAGAGTGCTACTTTAATAAATACCTCTAGCAGTCCACTTGAAGTAACCTTGACCGGCTCTTGTCAACATGCTTGGTTCTGCTGAATCCGAAGGAAGAAAAACTGGTGCAAACTTGCCTTTAGTTAAGTGAGCACATTATATCATTTGCTGAATTTTAAAAGCACTGACATTTTTCCAAATCCCAGCCTTGCTGAGAGATTGTACAGGGCTTCTTAATGTCTTATTGATTCAATCCTTGTTTGTAATATTTGTTGACTGAATAGGTACTGATGTGTTACAGAAGTAATACACGCTAAAAGGCTAGAGTGCAGAGAGACAACTATGGCACAAAGTTAGTTTGGCGAATACTCGCAATTTATGTGGGTCACTCTCAGGTTAATGGAGCTAGATGCCTTTACCCCACAGGACCCAGTCCTCATCTTCAAAACGTTATTTTAATTTGTACATTGATTTTTCCCTCTGTTTCTCAGAGGGCCACAAAGCAGTATACCTCCTAACAGTCTTTTGGAAGCAGGTATGACCAAGAGCATGTCCATGAATTAAGTTTGTGCAAGTTAACTTAGGCCTGTTGGATCCAATAAAGAGCTCCACAGCTACAAACAAAGGGACTTGAATATGTAGAAGGGCAAAGAAACTCAAACCTACGCCACAGTGCTTCTAATAATATAAAATAGGTCTGCTGCTGTTGATATATGAACACAGATCCTACTATCGCTTTTAATTGTGAGATCCTTGTAAGAGTGCCATACTAGTGGCTTTGTGAGGTTGTAATTAGGTGCTCTGAGCTAAAAACACATGTTCATTTGACTTGGATTAACTTGGATAAGCTTACTGTCTTGATTTGAACCAATCTCCAATAGTCTTCACACATGCATAGAGGGGTGAACAGTAACCGTATCTGGACACTTAAAAAATCTCTGCAGGGCTAGGAAGGATAAATATCCCCAGACAGGAAGTATTCTTGAGATTTGGTGTTGGCATTTACTGGCCAGGCTCAGTAAACAAATGCTGTGTGAGTCTTCATCAGTCTCCGAAACTTCTTCATCACACCTGAACCTGGCTCACTTTATTTTGGACAAATTAAATATTTTGACGTGATGGTGGTGCTAGATGAATGTCGTGGGGTCACCAAAGTTATTACATGTCA